CCCCCCCCCCCCCCCCCCCCCCCCCCCCCCCCCCCCCCCCCCCCCCCCCCCCCACCGGGATTTTTTCTCAGTATTATTCACAACATATATAAATCGACTCAGTTTTTGCAGCACACATAACAATCGGATGCTAATCCGATGTTTCCGCATTTTTTTAATCTAAAATCATATTTTATTTTTATATGTAGACAAGAATATATTCTTATTGTGAACATGCAAATACTTGCCGACTAATTTGTAGGAACGTGTAAATTTAATAACAAATATTTGGGGTTTATTTTGTTTCAACAAATGCTTAAAACATTTTTATTCTGGCAATAGACAAAATTAAACTCGGTGCTATTCTATTATTGATACTTGAAACTAAATCCATTGCATGATATACCGTATGCAATCGCCCATAGAAGGCAGAAAATGCCTTGAGAACAGCTGCTGCCAGGATGGCCATGAAGGTGATCAAGTAGAAAAGAAAAGAAACGACACATTTTGACTCTAGTCAGCAAGTCTTCTCATCTCACCATTATAATTTATATGTAAAAACATCATTTAACAAGATCATCACAATTATCTAAAGAAAATCTTCTCAATCTACCAGATCAGTTATTATCATACTACACGTGTACCAGGTATTAAAATAATAATCATATGTAGATAGACTTTGATATACGTATGTAGAAAACATATGCCGGAAGAATAATGAGTGTTCTGGTGATCTTCAAAAGTTTTCTGTTCGCTCGTATGAGTATAGCAATAAAAAAAAATATTTTACTTTTTATTTACCATTGTTTCGCTTTCGTTGCGCGCGCCAGTCAATACCTTCGATATACATATCATAGAATCAATAGTTTTCTATTTGGCATTGATATCTGCCGGAATCTTTTTTTTTTATATAAAGGTTATGAGTAAATATTTTAACATGTTCTGTTGTCTCAGAGCAAATGAAAAAATTTCCTGTATTTTATTGGGTATGAGACGTCTTTGAATTCTTCAGAATAACAAAAATGCACAGCTCGGAGGAAAATTTTTTAAAGTCTTCTGCTAAATGCGATACGCCACATGTTTAAACAGCGAAGAATAGTTTTCTTACAAAAACAACATTACCCTATCTCATTAAGGAACATTAGTAAACTAAGTGCTCACTCTATCCTAATAACTACGTTTCGTTATTTTTTTTTTTGTTTTTACAGGATCAACATATTTTCTAATGTTGCTGCATTGGACGTTGTAAGCTATTTAATTTCATCATTCTCTTCCTTATTTTAAGAAAAAGTTTATCACTCTTATTTATATAAATTATTGTCAATTAATAAAAATGTAAAAAACCCACTCGATTTTTCTCAGAAAGAGATTTTCTCTAGAATACAGCCTCAGCATCCTACATTTTCACGAACAAATGAGGAAAATTTTAAGACAATGGTAAAGTATTGCAGTTGAAAACTATAAAGAGTCGTTTTACTACCGTTAAAGGCCCGCACATGGCCATGTTCTATTGAATTTTTTGCCTTCTAAAACACAAGGCGGCGAAGAGAAACAAGCAACACTACGAGTACAAGCCACGACAACTGCAAGAACAGCAAAAGGGAGATCAACACATAGGTGTAATCGCACGTTCTTCTCTCATTCGTCTTTACAAGCTACGACCAGAAGGTTGGTTTTTTTTCTTTATTTTGCTTCGCTTGACCGAATTAACTATCCTTTTCTTTTTTCTATTAAGCAAAAAAAATATTTTGTTGAATGCTATAATTCAATTAAACACCAAACGCACGTACATGCGACACACAATGCTGTCCGCATACCTTTGCCCTTGTTGTGTTACAATTAAAGATAAAATTTATGTTGAGTTTTGATTAGACTCAGGACATGAATTGCTCGATCTGTAAATAGGCTCCACCAATCAAGCAGAATTGCATGACAATTTCTATAGTCTTTTTATTGGTGACTTCTATTTGAGGTTTTGCTCATGGTCGCTTAGAAAATATCACAAACATCGATTTTCATTACGAATAAAAGCCTATGAAGTCACTTGACAAGGCAAACTTTCACGTTAAAAACACTTCTGTCTACTATTTTGATTTATTTTACAGTTGAAAATAGATTTCTTTTGTAACTTCTCTGACAAAAGTATTTCAAAGAAAAATATTTATTTTTTACGCAGTCTTCACGGATTGACAACCATGTAAGTGTCTAATTACGTTCTTGGTGAATTGTCATATCCGCTCTCAAGCACATTCTCTAATAAGAGCATCATTGAAAATCTCTTCTCTAGTGTGACATAGTGTAACTTGAAAGCATAAGTTCATACCGCCTGACTGTTGCTTTTTTTATTCACATGCGATCATCACCACTCGAGATAACTATTCAGTTTAATTATTTGCCAATATAGACTATGCAAATCGCTGCAAGGTTTTGATGGCAACTCAGTTTTGAATCTCGAAATAAACCGTGTGAGCATTCAAACAATATTAGAGATGTCACCAGGTAGACAACTTCTAACGGTAAAGTTTATTTTCCTTCGAAGCTTCTGTCATTCGCTCAATCGCGACAAGCAGTAAAAATAAATGCTGCCCATATTTAACTTTTCTAGCTGTACTACTTGAGCTATGAACATATATCATTAATGAGATCCTGAATAATTGAGTTTTGAGCTGAGACTGCAATCATGCACAGATCGTTTACACTCATCTATGATACTTAGTAGTTTATTTTTTATACAGCATGAATAAGATCGAATTCAAACTTTGAAAAGTTCCTATAGTTTATAGTCTGTCTATAGATAAGTGTTCATCGCTCAACAAGTAAAATATCGAAAAAGCAAGTAGAAAAAGTATTTATTTATCACTCAGAATGGGTGATAGAATGAGAATAGTCTTGAGTGAACAGGAATTTTATAGTTTGAAATACTCCCGGATGAGCTGTGTCTGGACGCATATCAATCAAGATTAAGAGAGTTTAATATGACCTGTAAAAAAGTATTTTAAAAGAATAAAGTTGCTTTACTGTTGTTTGATCTTCAGAAGTGTTAACATTTTCTATCGATTAATGTTTTAATATATATTCAAGTCCAATATTTACTTAGCAGAAAAGGGTATAAAATGACATTGTCGATATCTTGAGTAAGTTTTTAGTTTGCACCTATCAATTCTTTTTAAGGTCAAATAATTTTCATTTTTCATAACAGTTCTATGGAAACTTGTATTTTTTCTTAACACTTTTTAGAAAAGAAAGTTCCGCAGGGCAATTGAATGTATATTTTACTTGATACTTGTAGAAATGGGACAACAACTATTCAAAGTTCATCTAGATATCAATGATAAAATTCAAGTTGATTCCGAAACAATATTATCAATTGCTTGTAAAGACGATATTAATTTCTTTTTACCATTAAAATCGTCTGGTAGAAATATTATCGCGTCTGATCTCAACGTTGGTCATCAAATTCCCAATGCGCACGCCGAATCCGTGAAGGAAATTCGTAATGATTTAGCTTTATTGACGGAATTAATTGAATGGCAAGCAATGAATACTAAAATAAATGACATACTTACCAGCGATGTTTTTACTATTTTGTCTGATCAGAATAAAAAACTAATTGCAGACATTAACGACTATTGGGCATATAAACAATCTCTAGAAAAATGTTTAATGGAAAAACTTAAAGATGACAGCAATGACAACACATCTATTCTTGCATATTCATTTATTGACTACTCATCAAGCCACGCGACCTCATCGTCTACTAAAACTGAAGATCAAAAAAGCCAAAAAGCCAAATATTTATCGAAACAATTGTCATATTTAGCTATTCAATCGTTAACTTCAATCTTATTGGTGTTAATTAAATCAGCTGAAAAGAACGATCCAAGCATTGTACATCATATATTGACATTAGCCGGTGAATTATGCCAACAATTTCCAATGAAGTGTTTGTCGCCTGCAAACATTTTCTTATTCAAATCATTGAAACCTTTGATAAATTATATTCATGAATTATCTTTGACAGAAGACTCGATTATTTCAAAACAAGCTACGATTATTTTGCTCGCTTTTTCTATTGCAAAAGGATCTTTCAAAGATATCTTATCTCTATTGAATAAATTAATATTTAACACAACTGATATTTACAATGTTCAAGGTTTATTCATACAATTAAATAACGGCCTTGAAGAGACTCTCAACGATGCAGAAAAGCAAACTGCTAGTAGTGAAGAAACAGAAGGTAACATAACAAATTTTTTCCTGTTGTTTATATCTGAGAAAAAGTATCACCACATGTGATCACCATCATGATTTAACACCTAACAGTAAAGAAATTGGCCTCTATCATACTGATATTCTTTAACAAAAAGATATATTTTACAATTGAATTAATTTTTCAGTTATTCTCCTGAAAAGCATTCTATATAAAACGGAAGACTCAATGTGCTTATTTAATGACAGAAGCAAATCTACAGACTTGACATTTCTATAATAAATTATGGTAAAGAGCTTAGTAGAAAACTATTATTGATCTCTAGATTCTCGAAAACTTTCCTAACATGTGTAATATTAAATTCTAGACACTACTTCAATCGGTTACTTAAAATCTATCGGTTCGTTTCCTAATACACAACTAACAAATTTGAATGAGCAATTATTCACCGGGCAATTTATTTCGTCGATTATTTTATCATATATCGATATTGAGAATCGAGCAAATTTGCTCACTGAAGAAATCGAACTTAGTTCATTTTCGTGTGAATTTCATCCAAGTACATTTAAAAACTTATTCAACATTATCGAACAATTAGCAGCAATATTGCCATCATCGCAATCGAGTAATACAATCAAGCATATTCTAACAATATGCTTAAGATTATTTTCAGCTCACATAAAAATTTTATCTGACATCAAAACCGATAATACTAATATTGATCTATCGAAGTTTATTATTGATGATGACTTAAAAAAATGGTTTGACTTATTATTTAAATTAGCCTGTAGTGAAAATTCCGAACAACTCAATATGTCGAAAGAAGCATCAAAAGTTCTTATTAATATTATTAATATTCAATCATCGGTATTAACTGAAAAAATCTCATTAATTCATCAATATATTGTTCAGAATAAATCGCCGATATTGACTGAACAATTTTTAATTGAATTAAATAACAACGAAATTTTAACAAATTGGATAGACACGTTGTGTGATGAAAACAAAAGAAATTCTCTAATCCAAATTTTATATTCATTCATTGATCTTTATTTCAATAGACCAGATGAACAAAAATTATTAATAGAAAAACTTCTGCTTTCATTTCAGCAAAACCTCTTATCACGATTAATTCATCGCTGCGAAAATAAAACTTTACCGAACGATGAACTTTCATTATCTTCTCTTATTGCGGAATATCTTACTCATATGTTTAATAATTGTCTTCCAAAAGTGTCTCATGTAAATAATCTGCTCAGCTCAATTCTTATCGGATTATGTTCAATGACAAAACTTGACGAAATATTTGTTTACGAAATTGTTCAACCTATATTTTTAGCTGTTTTACCTTTACTAGCCGAATATTATTTAAAAAATCTCGAACATGAATATCATGAATTAATTTGTTATATCCTCGGCAAAATGAGTCATCTCTTAATCATTGGTTCACCGCAAGATTCTCTCGAAATAAAACATAGCAACCAATTGAAATTAGCCATTTTCGCAGGTGGATACATTAACGGCAAGAATACTTCTTTATTAAATTCGAATCTTGCAGTTTATAGTAAATTTCCATCAGTCTATGAGACAGAAGACGATAAAGATTTTCTAATGTCAATTTATAATAATATTGATGACGGTGCAAAATTAATATCAAAATTGCAAATGTCTATAAAACATAAACAACGTTTATTACAAAAATCAATTGAACAACAAGCTCATGATGCTTGCGCTGCTGTATTTGCTGTTTATATAAAATTTTATCGGCGAATCAATCTTGCAAAATATGAATTATCAAGAACAGATCCAACGAATCCACATAATGAACTGATATCGATTTATGAATATGCAAATCATGTTTCAACGCTATTTTCTACCGTTAAAGCACAAGGTGGCGATTGTGATGAACTGCTAAAACAAATTAAAATGAAAACATTATTTCTTTTGTCGTCCGTAAAAGAAAGTAGTTTAATACCAATTATAAATGAACAAATGCCATCGATAATCATAAATATGATACCAGATAATACGCTCCGTTATCAACGGCAGCATTCACGATGGACAAAAGCGAACCATGTTATTAAATTACTTCGAAATCTTCTTCAAGCTTGTTTTCGATTTAGAAACTCTATACTTAGAAAGAAACAATTAAACGAACAGAAATGCAATTTCGAAAGTTTATTACATCACGCCATTGATCATTTTATTTATGAAGATTGCCATAAAATCTCATCTTCAATAAACAACGAGGAGAAACAATCGAAAATTGACGAAATAGAAACATGTCTTCGCCGTCAACAGGAACGAGCTGTCACAAGATTGATTGCCTATCGATTTATCAGAACATTTCTACAAAATGTTCTCAATGAAAATAATAATAGTCAGCATCTAACAATTGTATCGATCTATTTACCGTATTTAGTAGAGAATGATTTAGAATGGTCTTATCTGAAAAATATTTCAGCGTCGAATAACCAATTACAAGAAGAAATTGGTAGTTGTTATTATTCAATTATTCAACTTGTTTTATCTTTATGTTTCAAATCGGATAGTTTATTACAAAAGCTTTTTTATTTACTTAATTTACCCTATGAAATAATCGATCTCTGTCAATTATATCAATATGAATTCGTTCAAACATTATTCAAATCGTTTGTTAGTTTTAAACAAACGTCTGAACATGAGACTTCGTTAAATTTAAAATTTATTTCATTTAATTGGTTTCGTTTATATATTTTTAAATTATGTGGAAACGTTGAAATGGAAAGACAAAAAGGTATATTAAATGAAATATTAGAAGAACAGGAAAAATTAGCTTTTAATACTTCAATTTTAAATGAATTGAAAGATTTAATAAAACAATCCAACGAAGAATCAGCAATAGATTCTCAAGAACAAAAGAAAATTTCTCTAAGCAATATTACCCACTGTTGGTTTATTCAAGCAGATGAAAACAGTGATGCTGATGACAATGATGAATCAAGCGCTTCGCATAAACATGAAATCGAACTTTATAAAAGTCAATATTTAGTTCTTCTACTTCAATGTACTTATTATTATAAACACGTTTTGATGGTTTGCGCAAATATTGATTATCTTAGAGAATTACTTAACATTTATCATAACAGTCAATTGAGTCTTACGCGTATACTTACTATAAAATTGTTGGGCTCTTTGATTCCCCGTATACCAGATACTGTAGATGATCAATCGAAATATCTCATTAAAAAATTCTTAACCGACGTATTGAATTCAATTGGTGAAAATAAAATTTCAGAAGAACTGCTCGCTGAATTAATCTACATGTATCGAACAATAATGTCGTTGGATTCGTCGTGGAAAATTATGGCAACAACATTAGTATTGGATTCTGTAAAATTATATTTAAATCTGGAATCAATCGAACTTAATGATTCCGAACGAATGAATAAACTTCTAGCAGCATTATGTATATTAGGTGAATATATTGAACCGTTTCGATTAGGTTCGATTGTAACAGTGAATGCCGATAAAAAACTAAATGACGAATCATCATTAGCATTAATTATTGAAATCGATTCAAATTTTGGTGAAACAGAAAAATATTATCTAATTCAATATTTTCAAACTCGTCAAACGGAAACCGTTTCGATAGATAAATTAAAACTTGAAATCAATGTTTCACCGCCAAATCTATCAAATTTAGAAGAATCATTTCTGGATGTCTTAGGATATTTTATTCAAATTGATACATCAACAAGTCAATCATTGATTTTATTAGAATTAAAACGTCGTTCGATTTCGGTTCTATATAATATATTAAATGATAGAAAATTCGCTGAAATTTTCATGAAAAAACCTTATGCATCTACGATTGCTAAACTATGTGTGTGCGATTCTTTAGAAAAAATTCGTCAACTATCGCCCGATTTAGATTTATCTACTAAAGAGAATTTAGAAAGATATTCTTTGACTTTAGACACAGGTGAAATATTCGAATCTATGACTGAAGATGAAAGCAAGGACGTGCTAGATCATTCAATATCAACAAACAATCACGACGATTCTTTATATACTATATGGAATACGGATGACTTCAAGCCTGATGAATTAATAATGAATAATCTGTCAAAACCTATATCGAAATCCAATACATGGAAACCGTATGCATCAGAAATCGAAATGGATTTTGTCAAACAAGGTCGATCTGGAAAGGATGAAGTTGTCATCGTTCCAACGCCACTCCATTCTGTAGCGCTAGATGCAATTCAAGAATGTGGAACGAAACATCGATTTCGTGGAAAAATAGCACCTACTTCTCAAACTGCACGAGTCAGTTTTCCGTCGTTTATTGCTGATAATTTACAATTAAGCGAAGGAAATTGGTATTTTTGTGTTCGATTACCACTTGGCGGAGTTGTTCAAATAGGATGGGCAACAAATGGTTTCTCGCCGAGTATAGGATGTGGAGTAGGTGACGATCGATTTTCATGGTCGTATGACGGATCACGAGCTGCTTTCTTCTATGAAGAAGGATTTTATGGTCAATATGATAACACTCATTGGGGTCAAAACGCCGTTTGTGGCTGTGGAATTGAAATCGATGGACTAAATACGAGAATAAAATTCTGGCTAAATGGAAAATACTTAGGTACAGCTTTTCAACACGATACGTTTGTTCCATTGTCAACAAAAACATGTAATTTATTACCCAATGGACCAAAAACAAAGTTTTTTCCTGGTGTTACTATGCAATATGGCAGTGATCCATCCATATACTGTGAATTGATATTTAGTCCAGAAGATATGGAAAGTTGCCCATTACCCAATGGTTATAAACCATTATTACTACCGAAATGTGTTCTTACAGAAAATTCTATTGTCGAATATCCATTTAGCGCTTATTTAATTGGTGAAAATCCAGAAGATTTCGTGTATTCAACACGAGCAAACTCATCCGTTGTTCTTCTACGTGATTTTATGTATCAGCATCATCTTGAAAACAAATTTTCATTTGACAATCATCATCTTATTTTATCCGAACAAAGCACTGGCTTTCCATTATCCATCGATAATGATGATATGACATCGTTGACAATCAGTTTTGATTTTCAAATATTAACCTCGAATGAAAAATCTGATATTTTATTATTCAAAATCGAATCAACAGAAATAATAGTAAATATAACTAATGAAACTATACGATGCACCATTGTTTTCCTAGCAAAAAAACGCCGCATTAAAGTTTATATCAATAATAAATGTCGACTATTCATTGATGCATTTCAACGTGAAACAATTAAAAAATTAAATCTAAATCTTTTACCAACTATTGCTGCTAAAATACGAAATCTTGCTATTTGGAAATATGCTCTTGCCGAAGGAGATATTCGCCGTTTGTTTACTTATGGTCTTTTCTATATCGCTGTTGAAAATCAACGATTGAGAGAGCACCGTCAACAGGCAAATACAATTTCATTTTCGAAAAATCAAACAAATTTTACAGATGAATGCCTTATTCCATTCAATGAATCATTCAAAGAAGACGTTTGGACGAAGAAGAAAACGCAAGCAGATGATAACGAATCAAACTATTTTAAAACAAACAACGATATAGACTATTCAGTTGTTGAACTATTGGGAAATCAAACATATCTGGTTTTAGATAAATCAATTGAAGAATGGAATGAATATACTATTGTGCTTAACATTTCCATTTCTAATTGGCCACTTACGAGTGAAAAATTAACTTTGATTATATTCAATCCGAAATATGAACTTTACATAACACACGAAGGTAAACTTTGTCTTGATAGTAATGGAATCGTAACTGATAGCGTGGCAACTGTTGCTCTTAATGATTATGTTAATTTATTCATATCAGTTCAAGAGAAAGCTGTTAAAATTTATTTAAATAGAAATTTAGAAATCGACGTCGAAATCTCGGACGATCAATATCACATAAAATCAAATCGAATTGACCTATTTAGAGAAATAGACCTAAAGAAAAACACAACAAGCGACTGCACCGTTCGAGTATCATTAAAATCCATCACGTATCTTAATCATTCAATACCAATAGATCAATATGTTGTATCATCATTGATAACGCCCTCGATTTCAATTCTTGGAACAAATTTAACAGCAATGGGCTATAAGAAAGCATGGATCGATTCAGTTATAAAACAATACAATACAACAGATATTCCAACAATTCATAAGATTTTATACGAACAAAAAGATCAATTCATAAAATTAGATCTTGAAAACGAGCGAAAGCATTATTTGACGATTTTATCAAAATTAGATCCATTGAGTGATGTACAAGCTTTAAAAGATCTAATCTACTCTTCGAAATTGAATACAGATCAATCTATAATAGACCTAGCAAAGCATGTTTTCCCGCAATCGATCTCTTCACACGCACTGCAAACTTCAAATAATAGCAACAACTTTGAATTATACTTAGATAATCAATGGTTTCCTGAATCTGTTCAGCATTTAAATATTGATGATAATATCAATGGATGGATTCTCGATAAATCATCAATAGAAACTGATCAAAATAATCAATATCATTTATTTGATTTCAATAAAACCGAAGAAAAATCCAAGATAAGTAAAAAATCCGAAGGTTCAGATAAAACGATTTCATCAACAAAGTCGTTAATATCTCGTACTGATTGTGAACATGGATTGACAACAATCTATGCACGTTGCACCATTCTGAACATGATTAAACTTTGGCTCTATGATCAAACAAGTTTATTTCCTTTAGAAAAATTTGGTGATTTTCCATTTGTTATTAAATTGTTGAAACTATTGGATTCGATGCAAATCGATATCGACGAAAAAGATGATCGCATCAATTTGTTAATCAATTCAATCCTTAAAAGTGAAATGAAAAACTTATTGGAATCGAAAATTACCGTTGATGAACATTTACTAGAGAGTAAATCTCCATTATTTTACCATTTGCAAAAACATATATTTATTCAATCGATTCAATTGGTATCAAAGCCATCTTTATTTGATCAAAATTCCAATGGAAAAACGTCTATCAATGAGCAGCAACCGGATTTCGCTTTTGTTTTAAAAGTTCTCAAGTTATTCATGGAATTAATAAGAGCTAGATCTTCTTTAGAACAAAATCAAATCGAATCAATTATTTCATTATTATTTCCTACACAATTAATTAATCTGGCCTTTGATTTATTCTTATTGGTTCCGGTACATCAATCGAAAATAGCGATTATTCATCTATTTACTACGTAAGCCGATATTCTTCTTAAGATAGATATTAAGGTTTAGCGATGATGATTTTGTATTCAAATCTTGGTATCGACAGCTATAGAGTTGACAAATAGCAGTTTGCTCTTTCTTTTTTATCAACTCTTCGATAGAGATTGTGAGGCCTGATCCAACAATTTCAGGCCTAAGTTCTATTTCAACAATTAGGAATTAAGAGCAAGATCGTCTGTATTGAGAATCAAATTTTTCTACCCTATGCTTTCGTTTTTCTCTTCAATAGTTTGCTTCAAACAAGTGAACAGCTGATATTAAATAATGAAATTCAACAATTTTTCTTTCAATTACTCATCGAATTATCATCGAAAGCAGCATCACTGAGCAATTATTCATTAAAACATCTTCAATTAGCTTTAGCAGACTTTATATTTATTTTAATAACAAAACTGAAACATCTTTCCAATGAAAATAGTGGGAAAATTAAAGTTATTGAAACGAAACTTCCTGAAAATATTCAAAATTTATATACGATCATTGATGTTATTAATATTTGGACTGATCCGAAAAGAGAAAAACTCTTACCTGAAAAATTTCTTCTAAAATCCGATAATTATAAAATAAGTCAAGAAGATTTTACTAACTCGAACAATCATTTCAATACCATCGCCGATCAAGATCTAATCAACTTCATGAACAATGAACTGTTAGCGAATGATTCATTTTCAAAATTCATTGAAAAACTACCGAAAGAATCACCAGCAGATTCAACATTCTTTAAAAATCATCTATCATTAACAAATATTCCAGCTGATTGCATTCGAATTCGTGCGCAATTTTTCTATTCATTCAATACATTGCTTACAGAAACTCTTTCGATCGTCGACTTTAGTTTGCCATTAGGAGAAAGTTTTCTAACTGATCGTATTCGAATAATAAAACCTTACTTATTGTCGACAACAAAATTTGGATTATTTCAAGAATCTTTAGACAATACAGAATCCGATCAAAATACTGAGTGGACTTTAGTTAATTTTGATACATTGAAGGCGAGTACAGATATTAGCAATAGTGAAAATACAATGTTCTATCAAGCTTATCAGCAAATGCGCAACAATGCACATATTATATTTCGACGACCCAATGAACAACTTTGGCATGCACAATATATTGGAATGCATAGTACAGATCACGGTGGACCGTATCGCGATTCCATTACTCGTATTTGTTCGGATATATGTTCTACGAGATTACCATTATTTATTTTATGTCCAAACGGACGTACGAATAGTGGTTTAAATCGGGATTGTTGGATTCCAAATGTTTTCCCACCGCATGAATCAATAGAGAATACAATTACAAAACAATATCGTTTCGTAGGACAATTACTCGGCATGGCTATAAGAAGGAAACACTATTTAAATGTAAAATTTCCAAGTTTACTATGGAAACAATTATCAAATGAACCGATTACTGTTGAAGATATTGAAGCTATTGATTCGCAAAGTTTTACAATTATTAACGAAGCAGAAAAGAATATTGAACAAATAAGATCAGTAACTGCTGCTGGTGCTGAGAGTGACGTTGATTCCTTATTTAGTAGTATTATGAGTGAATTACGATTTGATGTTGTTAGTTCATCGGGGCAAACCTATGAACTTATTCCCGATGGTTCGAATATTCCAATTACGGTAGAAAATTTTAAACAGTATTGTAAATACTATCGACAATATCGTCTGAATGAATTCAATCGGCAAATTGATTTTATTCGACAGGGTTTACATAATATTGTTCCATGTTATTATTTAAGTTTGTTTACTGCTAATGAACTTGAAGAAGCAACATGCGGAAAAGATCGTATTGATATAGAACTTCTACAGCGACATGCTTGTTATGGAGGCTGTTACAGTGAAGAATCGCCACCGATTGAGCGGTTTTGGAAAGTTCTGAACGAAATGTTTAATGAGGATCAGAAGAAAGCGCTTTTGATATTCGCGTGGGGTAGAAGTACATTACCGATTCGCGATGAAGATTTTGACATGAAATTCTGTATTAGTGAATTCGATGTTTACGACGGCGAAGTTGATAAAACACTTCCAAGTAAGTACTTTTAAAACTGTAATATATGACAGTCAATCAGACATAGATTCTTTCAGCTGGTTAGCAAGTATTTTGATAGTACTAGTCGTGAATTTAATTTATATTGGGTGTTTTTACTATTAGTTGAATGGTGATCAAAAGTAATGTTTGACGTGTACGAAAGAAAGTCTCTGATTTGTTCTTACGTTAGGCGATAATAATATATTTCCTTGCATCGAGTTAGCAGGAAATTTTATTGTGGCAACAAATTGAATTTGAACAAAAATTTTCTTTACTATTCAAAATACACAGAGTATTCAAATCGTTCCATTTTTACACTTTTGAGACACGTTTTCACATACGGGTGTCAATTTAACTTTAATTTTTAAAGCAAAGTTAAAGTGGCGCCCCTATTTTCAAATCGAATACAAGTATCCCATTACTACAGTAATCAGTAAAACTCTAAAAATACAAACGTTGAGATTTTGATATCAAAACTTAGAAGATTTTCTGTTGACATTAGTCTATTAAGTTAGAAAATAAGATATTCAAAAGGAATCATAATGCTTTGCATACAATCTAAAACAATATAAAGATTATGAAATTCGCTTCGTCTATTCTAGGATCGCATACGTGTTTTTTTACTATTGATTTGCCCGCTTATTCAACGACAGATATTATGTATGAGCGTTTAAATTACGCTATTTCTTCTTGTTCAAGTATAGACGGCGATGGCACAGTAAACGAGGCACACAGTAGTGAAAATGGCGATCTTTACAATAGTTCAGATGACGAATAAAATATGTTACTGTCTTTTATTGTTGTTACTGGAGACAATTTGATTGAAATGTTGTTTTTTTTATAATCGAAATAAATTAAATTGATTTTATCGCTTGAAAATTGTGAAACTAGTTTCAATATTTTATTAGTTTGGCCAGTTCAAGAAACCCAAGGTATATAGGAATATTTATTAAACAAGTATTGTATTATGTGAAATCAATATGAGAAAATATCGAATAGCTGTTCTCACAGTGATTTTACTTAGTTACTGATTATAGGTTAAATGATAATATTCGATATGACTTTACAAGAACTCTCATTTTGATATTCGACGGAGAAGATAAAACGTATTTAATGGATACGATACAAAAAGCGATTCACTATGCATTTTGAAATCCTAAACTATATTCGTCGCAAAACACTTTTAATTGTTCTCCTATGCATAGCTCCGCATATATTTGATGGCAAGCGTCCTCTTATAATATAATTTCAAGTCGCTATTTAAATATTCAAAGATCAAAATGATAGTGATCGATGTTCACAAAGTAGAATCGCATTCTAATTATGCAGAAATAAAATGAACACTGATTAGTTATTCGATTGCCGAATTTCTTCCAACAGAAAAATCAAATATGCTAGTTAATCTACACCTGCAGATACTTTCGAGTTTATTTGTATTAGTAAATAGTTTTCCTTTTTAAAATTGCACAAGCAACTCATTACACTAAAATTCGTTCTTGTTCCTACTTGTACACATCATCAACCTTAAAACATATTTTCCCCTAGCCGATGACTTCCACACCGGTTTATAATTTTTAGCTTTTACGAGGCTTTCACTGAACTAATGCGGATTCTGTTTTGTATACTCAAAAAAGGATACTTCTGAATTAGTTAGTAAGCATAGATGATTATACTTAGGAAGAGAAAAAAGTAAATGCGAGATTTCGCCAGTCATGGATATTATTCACTTCTGTTTCGTTCGTTCTACAAGCTCGCAGAAACACTCAAACAGTATGCAAATAATTTCAACTTGGCCAGACAGTTTACTATTTTTTTCCATCATGTATTATTTTCAAGCGCACACTTACCAAATTTCATGAAAAATGTCTACCTGTGAATCATCTAAGTGAAGAAAGAAGCAAATACGTTGGATGCACCGAAGTGTGTGTCGGAAGTATTTTTATCATGAGTAAAAATGTTTTTGAATATGGAATATAAACAATGTCAGATTTGTTGCAAAAAAAATTATTTCACAATTAATTATTGGAATTTTTAAGATCATCATTGATTAAATTCAATAACTAGCGATTAGAACAAATATCTAACGAGTTGATCGTTGAAAATTGTTTAGTAAAAGTGTTTAACTAAATACTAATTTACATGAAAGAATCCATTCTAAATCGAATGACGATGAATAAACCCGTAGATTCACTTATAATTATCTATCTAAATGTGATCAAGATTTTTATTTCTGAAATTGCAATTGACTTATTTTATTTATTAGGAAGTATATTTCGACGAAAATTTGCAACAGCACTGGATTAAAATCCAGCCTCAACAGTGCTGAATCGTTTATAAATGCTTTCATACTATTTATTTACTTTAGTAGATGAAAAATCCGTCAATACTCAAAGAAAACCATTCATTTTTTTACAAAATAACACATAATTAAGCTAGCACGTGTTCAATCAATCTCGGCTAAATAAAAATTCGATAGTTCGTTTAGTTGCTCATGTTACGCATAAATACATTGTTTTATTCTATTTATTTTATGGTCCATGCTTTCACCATCCCTTTACGCGCGATTCCAGGAGCGTAATAACAGAAATGAAATAGATTTTCATATTACAGCTGTAGATTATTGATCTACGTCTTTTGATCATGTGTCTATCATCTAGAAAGCTCAAATCAGATATTGATCCTACGAGAAAAAAAATTCTAGCAACGAATATGTTACAACGCTGAAAACAAAAATGGGAAAAATAATTTTTTAGAAAATGTTGAGTAAAAAATAATAAGAAAGAATCAGCAAAGAAACAATAAAAAGCAATGCTAGGAAAATAGCCATTCAATATAATAGTAAACGAGTGGTAGACTCTTCTAGGTGGTATAGATGAAAGCCATTAGCACATGTACGCATGAGTTTCTTCTCTTACGAACGTTTCACTCCTGATGGGTATACATTTTACATGCAACTTCACAGTCGTATTAAAACATCGAGGAGACTCATCAAAAATAGTGCAAAACTTATAGGATAAAACAAAAGCACATTAAATTTTCTACATATGTGCTACTTTTTCTAGATATTTTGATGTTAATCTCATCAATATTGAATTGAAAAAGCAAAAAATTGATGTAGTGATTGTTAAGTGCAAAATAGTCAAATAGAAATACGAAATCAAATATTTAGAATCATGTTTTGTTTTAGTAGTCCAATTCTAGAAAGCGCATACCATCGGTGGTTCAACATTTGATCTATGATCGATGGATGTGAGTTCTTCATTGTTCTTTTGATCATTTGCTTGATATCGCTCACGTCGACGATAATACATGCGAACGATTAAATTATACATTGGTTCGAATATCAATTTGTAAACTACGAATAGCAAACCAAATATTTCAAAACAAACAACAGTAAATAGCAGGTTATGAAATATTAGCTCAGCTCGTTTAACGATTGGCTCTTGCACGTTTTTAACATAATAGGTTGATTCACCTATCGCTACAGTCAATATTGTCTCTGTTGATGTTAACTGAGAATACGCGGCTTGTGAAAGAAATAGACTATTCAAATTAGCTCCATATGTAAGAGCATAGATACCGGTATAATTTGAGTCATGGCCGTCTATCGGTACTGTTTCATTGATAACTTTTGTTGTTGTTAGAGACACAGCCAATGTATGTGCTAGAGCACTGCCGTTCTGTGAAAAAGATCGATAAGCGTTCAGTTCTCGTAAATAATATAAATCTTTTTCCATTGTAGGACCACTTAAGCCTATACGCAAAGCTCCAATGGTACCGATATCAGCAATGGAGATCTCAATCGATGTTTGTTGAGAAGGCAGCGAAATCGATAAGGATAGAACCGAAGTTATATTTGTACAATTGGACCAACGAATTGTCGACCAAGTTGTACCAAATAGAGCTTGAATCGATATGGCATCACAAGCAATTAATGTATTAAGAAAAGCAACATTGAGAGTAAAGCTTTGTCCATCTAACAAATGAAACATTTCATGTTCGGCCTCGTCAGGAGCTATACCCAATGATCGAAGACCCGTTTGAAACTTAGCATTACGCATTGATGTATCACAGGCAAGATTGAAGCCAGATACTGATTCAATGGGATATTCCTTAAAGTAGCCATTACTAAATGCATAAGCAAAGCTAAGCATCACTATTAGTGACAATGATGCTAAACCACCCACCCATAATTCACCTTCTCGAATCATGTCAATTTTTTTGAATGTATACTGAATTTTTTTCTTTACTTGAGTACCTTCTGGATTCATGGTACAAAAATTTAGTATTGCTACAATTATCATAATGAGAAAAGCAAAGCCAGTTACGAGCAATGACCAAAACAAGGGTGATATAACCAAACAACGGCCAGATCCAATATAGAACATATTATGAATTAATATCTCTTCAAATATGGTACTCTCAGGTGATTCTGGATAAGCAATTACTTGGTCACGATTTTGAAGTTCAGAGTTGGGTACTTCGCCTGTTGAACCAAGAGAACATAATGAGTCAGGCGCGCATGCCATACAGTTAATTGAACCATTGACAGAAGCTTTCGTGCCAGCTGGACAGAGCGTGCAATCATTGATACCGTAATTACTTTTATACATACCTGGTAGACATGCTTTTGGAGATGTAATAGTTGGTATTGATGCTGTGTCTGGCATTAATGGGAATAGGCCTGGTCCTGTAGGAATGAATATTAGTAAAGTTCCAATATCATCCATTAAAGTTAATGATGTTGATGACGAAATGATATTTAAAAATATGGAACTAAATCCTGCAGGTAATGACTGATGATAATTAGGAAAAATCGAGAGTTGAGTGCTATCAGAACTATAATTGTTCAGTGTCATATCATATAGATAAATTTGAGATGACACCCACTGATACGCTAATGTATATGTGTTGACAAGTATTGCGGCCATACTTTCATTATTTAACCAAGCTACACTTTTTCCATTTCCTAATGACCGACCATTCGTGTTTCTACTAATGTTCACTAATGATATCGGATTATTGATGTTTACCGAAAATAAAAAAACTCTATTGATGAATTGCATACCAACTAAAACATAACCACGACTATTGATACTGATTGACATACTGTATTTGGCTGAATAAATATCTGCATCGTCATTGATTAATAAATCTTGCCATGTACCTGGAGTAGCATATGGTACATGTTGATCAACAACAATCGGATGATGATTAGATGAATTGAAATTAAGGAGATAAATGATTGGACTAAATTTGACTCTTCCATTCGGATCATTTTTAATGAAACCAGCAACAACACCAAAATTGTCACTGATGTCAACTGCATGGGGTGTAAATGAGACGTTTGGCCATGTTAAGCTGCTATTCCATGATTCGAAAGTTGAAACATTCTGAGAATCAAAGATGAAGATAAAATCATTAGCAAATCCATAGACAAGAAGACCCTTCGGTTCAACTCCAATGATATAGTATTCTTGATGTGCATAATTAGATAGGTATTGAGTAAAGTAAGAGAAACCTGACACACAAAAGTTCGATGGATTCGAAACGTTGCTCGTTAGATTATATTTTGCCACGCCAATAAATGTTCCATTGTCAGTATTTAGTACTTCACCGGCAAAGAAAAATTGTACTTGATTTTGATTCGGGTTTTTTCCAACAGCAACTGTGTGAACATAATTTTGTATATTATCATAATTAATTGAACACTGCAATAAACTTTGTGTATTGTTGTATGGTGCAAATTGAATAAAGAAACTTGGCGGAACTTGAGCATTCTGTGCTTGCACAAGAAATATATCATTCATAGCGATTTTTACCCCATATGCATTGTAATTAGACCGATCAGGAGAGAAAGCAGCATCTATATGATGAATTTGGAGCAGTAATAAGACGCCGATGATCATGAAATGCAAATATTTCATGTTTGTATTCATTGAATTGGTTTCTTACGTTTGCAAGTGCACGATATGCAGCGGTAGTATCTAGAACAGGTCGAATCAGACATAAGTTTGATGATCGTTAACTATTGAGTGAAGCGTCGTATTCATTGTTTATTGGTTTACTATTTTACATGTGTAAAATATCGCACTGTATTAAATCTATTCTATGAAAGCTTCAAGGTCGAATGCGAAACGTACTTTTTTTGACTGTTTTAATTTTACTTGTTTATTCTACTGTGAAAAATATGTATGCAAAACAGCATCTACTTCAATATCAAAGTAGATCTTAAATAAATGCTAGAGCCTAATTCTACTGTTGTTAGTGTATTATTTGTGAGATGATGAACGTCATAGTTTCAAATGTTCTCAATGTTAATTTTGTGTAGTATGCTGTAGAAGGTATGATCGTGAACTTAAGAAAAGAAGCTATCACCCAGGCAATTTTTTATTTAACTGGCTACGAAAAATATTTTTAATTTGTGACTATTTTTTTATGACTCAATGCATATAATGTAAAAAGGACGAGAAATGTTGTAGGTTTCTTCGCACAGGACTCTACTATAACAGAAGTACGGATACCTGCTTGTATTGGGATAAGACCGTTTCAAGGTAGCAGATCAAAGATGGTATGTGATACAGGCAGAAACAATGTCGAGTAAATTGTCAAACCGTAGCTTTCTATTTCTGACGCTTTGATCATGAGAGAGCAGAGAAAAATTAGCTCAAGGCTTTGACAGTATAAGTCTCTATATTTTATGCTCACTATTTGTTAAATGCCATCATAACATTGGTAAATAAAGCAATATTTTTATAATTCAAATCTACAAAAAGGCCTGATATTGTCAGGAGCATTTTTATGTTTAATCTAATGAGCAACGGAAGAAAAGAAAAGAGTATAAACTGACTTCATGCAAATGAGAGAAAGATAAACATACGAAGCATGAATCAGAATGGAAAAAAAGCGACTTGAATTCAATCGAAATGCTGTTACGAATTCACATTTTCTCTGTTCACGTACCTACTCAGCGCAGTTTCTAGTTTTCTTGTAGCAATTGCTTCCTAAGAAAAAAACAAGTGCACAAAATAAATACAAGTTGCTGTCGATAATGTATGCGGCAATTTTTTGTTTCATATTAATTAAAATTATACTGGGCGCATGCGTCACAAAGTTGATCACAAAAATACGTTGCAATTAAAATGCATTTTAAATGAATATGTCTCGTTTTGTCTGTTGACTCTAGATTCACCATCTATTTTTACACATGCAACTTCAAATAAGCAATTTTGCTGACAACGCGAAACATGTATATATATTTACACTAACTTGTTTTTTTGTTGTTGACTGCTTCGCAATTATTTACTACTCGGAAACGCATCGATTTCTATCCATGACCGAGAGTGGACTAGCAAAAAGTGATCTGATGAAGATTTGACTAAATCAAGATCAAAAAGACTTCCACATCTGATCTACTTGAATTTTGAGAATTCGAATAATAAAGTGGCATTGAAAAAATGCAATGCACATTTCAGTGCTGTAGAGTCAGCATGGAGAAATGTTGAAAAGCAAACGTCAACATCTCACAACGAAAGTAGGAAATACTTTTTTCAAGTGGAGAATATAGGCCAGTGTTCGTGTAATATAAATACAGCTTGGCGGATTAACTATTGAATAAAGCTACACTTGAAAAAATATGAATCAATAGAAAGAAAAGCTTATTGATCTATTCTGTCTAATATATTATTCATTAATACTAACATGATTCCGTCTTTGAATCACTGCTGCTGATGCTCTATTGAATTCAGAATTCAGGCATAAAAATAATCATTTTGATTAGCTAGCTCACTGCAATGGACATGATGCATACTATTCAAGACTGTAATTTTTAACGTTCTATAAAAGAAACAATACAGATTAGACTTTATAAAGCCTGATGTAAAACATTCATCTTTCGGTTGTTTATGATCGATACGTGTGATTGATATTGTTGGAATTCATTTTGGTGTTACAAAAGAAAATAAATCGAATTGTATCAACCTTGAATTAGATTAACAATGATCTCATTTGTGCTATTGGCATTTGCTTTAGAGATGAGTTAAATGATTTGAAAAAAATGTCTTTGCGTTTCAATGGGTCTTTATTCTTTCTAAACAATGAAAAAAAACAGAGCAGTACGTGCTAAATCGTGTCAAACAAAATAGAAATATTCACCATGAACAACAAATCGGCAACACATTCCTTTGTGATCCAAAGGTATAAGATCTAACGTCAGTTAAAGAAAGTGTATATAAAGATTTCTCTCTCGAATCCGATGTTGAGCCCTGTTTGTTCTCGTTACGATTGCTTGGTTACTGCACAACTTCATACGAGTTCCATTGAAAATACAGAATTTTTTTACATAGTTTCCACTATTTTACGTCACCGGAGGATATGATGGTTGTGATTATATGCGCACATGAGGGTGCAGACGGTTGTTTAGAATATGGTATAAACAAAAGCAAAGAAGAAAATATCCAGAAGACAACCAGGAAAACAGAAAAATATTAAGATTTTAAGTGTGAATAATTGTTCTTTATGTTATCAATATAGGTTTTGACATCGTCTACGATTGGTGCTATGTCGATACATATGTCTTCAGTGACACTCGCATCTACACTTACACCAGCATCCCACCTTTTAAACATTCCAATATATCATAAAACTTTCAAAAGGTGTTTTCACCAAGTAGTGTCTTCTGCATTGCACAACTTACTAAGTAAGATAATAGATACTCGTTCTGTTGTAAGCAGGATAGTACTAAGTACAACTGAGAATAAACAACGTATCTTCTAACTTTCAAAAATAAATAAAATAAAAGTTTAACCTTCTGCCTCTATCGTTTATATTTTCTTTCTCTCGTCTTCGATATTCCGATGTGTTATCTAAAAATAATAAAATCATAAGAAACCATGTATACATATGATTGAGAAACTCACCCGTAATCGTATTATTGCATTTTTGTTCAAAACAAAAACATTATTCGTTGGTATGCTGACAATAAATCCGAATTTCTTGACTACAACACGTTAAGTATCGAAGTAGTAATGAAATACGTATTATCAAACTTATGATCATTTGTGGTTCTGATCTTATTTCGAATACTAAAATGGTGCTTTGATCTAGTTACTTACTTTAATTGTTATAGTGGATGCTCCTGAATTAATTGGTTGTAAGTTCGTCGTTGATGGATCTGTCGAAGAATCAAATGAACGAGTCGTGGATTCTGTTAAATAGTCTTTGGTCGACTGGTTCGCTGTGCATAAACCGATGAACGACTCTTGTGTTCTACATGAACGGAGGGAGCGCTAGGCATATTCAGCTGAACATGCGGTTTCTGGTAACAAAATAAAAATGATTTTACTGGTGAATTTCATGTTAGAGAAGTCTATAAATGATCGGATTCATTTTTTTCCATTGAATTTAATTCAGGAGTCTGTAGACGTCGTACAATGAGATTTTTCAATCTGAACTACAAGAGAAAGAAGCAAATGAAATCCTGCTATTCCTAATTTAGTACGAAAATTTAAAAGGGCCTACTTATTATTTGACACCAACATTGCGAACTAAATAAAACAAAACAAAAACTTGTAAACTAATCAGGACTTCTGCATAGGACAGGGTGACTTCCGAGCAAAGTCATTGAATTTTCTTTTTTCTGCGTGTGGGACAAAGAACACAACATTGATTTTGGTTTTATAATATATCAAATTTCGCATCCTGTATTTAGTATTCAACAAACAAACAAACGGGCGCATGATCGTTCTTGACTAAGACATTAGCATGTAGTTTGATGTAGCTGAATCAATAAGCCACATATAATGACCACAAGAGAGGAAAGAATATCAATCTTTTCCAGACATATTCTGGATAAAATAGCATTCTGCTATTAGCCTGAGTTGCTCTTCAGTAAGCATCTTACTAGGTATTGTGTCTAATTGTGATGCAAATATGAGTGAGCAGATCAATATCCATGGTAGACGACAGCAACTCTTTCTGAAACAAAAATATATTCTCTTCGAGTTACTTCAGAGAATGGTAGTTCCTTCAGAGTAGATACAAAGTGTAACGTTCCGGGTTATATAAACATATAAATCATAAGCATATCAAAATTCCCGCTAAAACGCAAATCTCATAAACGAAAACACCCTAGTTTTCATTATGGAACTCACGCCCATAACCATAAGCTCATGGGGTTAATCTAAGACTCATATTACTTATATTCATATCCACACCTAATACTTACAATTCAGATAATGTTATTCAATGGTACACACGAGACACATTTCTCTATCGTTTATTAAACCAAGCATTGAGAGTACAAGATATTCTTCACATATTTTTATTTCGTTTTGTTCTTGTTGATCTTCACAATCATCTAGAAAACTTACATACACAACATATTTATTTACTCAAGACAGATAATGAACTCCGATCAGAATTGATTGTTTTTCGTGGACAAGGATTAACTGTTACAGAATTACAGAAACTAAAAGGCAATACTAATGGTCGCATTGCAATGAACAGTTTCCTTTCGACAAGTACATCTAGTAGCATCGCGCTTGGTTTTTCCGGCAATGGAAGTGGTCGTCCATTAGTCGAACCAGTTTTCTTTGAAATACATTGTCCAGTAAAAGAATACCAAACAAAACCATTCGCTAACATACAAAATTATAGTTATACAAAAGAAGAAAATGAAGTATTATTTACAATAGGAACAATATATTTTAAACGAATTTTGTCGAGGAACTTTCAGATACTATTTGGCATGTTAAACTAACCTTATGCGACGATGACAATGATTTAAGTCGAATTGAATCAATTGATTATTTAAAAAGTGAGATCGATCATAGATCAGATATATCTTTTTCAGCTAAAATTTCTATTGATATAAATGAACTTGATAAGGCTAAAGATTTATATAACTTAATTGTAAAGGTTTTACCGCCAGACCATTGTGATAGAGTTAGCATTAAAACTAACATTGGCACTATACATTTTGGAAATGGGCAGTACTGCGATGCTCTTAAGTATTGCAGGCAAGCATTAAAAATCAATCGGCTATTAATGCCAAAAGATTTTATAACATTATCAATGATATTAAATAATATTGGACATGCCTATAACAAACTAGTTAATTATTTAGAATCAATAGAATATCATAAAAAAGCTCTTCAAATTCAGAAGAAATTTCTAATTAAAAACAATCTTGGATATGCAACAACATGTAAGCATTTAGGTGTTGTGTATGATTGTTTAAGTAAACATAAATTAGCTTTGACATATCTTGAACAAGCGAAGAAAATTCTAGAAAAATATCTTCCTGAAATTCATCCTCATATCGGTGACACTTTCAATAATATTGGCGAAATCTATCTTTCGAATAATCGTTCAAACGAAGCTCGTATTAATCTTGAAAAATCTCTCGAAATTAGACTCGAATCTTTACCGACAGATCATCCTATACTATCAGTTAGCTATTCCAATCTTGGTTGTGCTCATGATAGATTGGGAAATTCTCAAAAAGCACTTGAATATCATAATAAATCTTTAAATATTTGTCTGAAATCTATGTCGAAAAATCATCCCGATTTAGCAACAACATATAATAATATAGCTCAATGTTACAATGAGCTTGACAATTTTACATCAGCATTGTTTTTTTCATAAGAAAGCACTTAACATTCATTTCAAATCATTACCACATGGCCATCCGGACACAATTGCATCCTATAGTAATATTGGATCATTGTATTCCGATGAGAGAAAACATAGATTAGTTTTGAAATATTTAAAAAATGTTCTCTCTCAATCATCGTCGGAGACAAATAGAGAGTTAATGGCGCTGCTATATTTTACGTTAGGTGAACTTCATGAAAGTAAATCAAATGCAGGAATGGCAATAAAATATTATAAATTAGCAATAAATACTGAACTTCAATGTGACGAATGTCATACAAGGCCAAGTTTAGCAATGACATATTATGCATTAGGAGAAATATATTTCAAAAAAATGCTTTGAACAAAACTTTAATTTACTTGAAGAAGGCTTTGGATATTGAAGAAAATTGTGTAGACTTTGATGATAATCCCAGTCTAATAGCATTATCGAGTCTCGTAGAAGTTTCTATAACAAACGCAAAATTATGTGAAAGCATTAACCTATATTCATCAACAGATGGATATTCAATTGAAGAATTCCTCTAGTCCATTGAATGATTTAGCAACAACTTATTTTAAAATAAGCTACATAAACGATTGTATGAAAGATTATAAAAATGCAAAAATACATTATGAAAAAGCCCTTGAATTTGCGTCGCTAACTAATGTAAATATAGGACAAATTTATGATTATCTCGGCTGAATCAATTTTGATTTCAATGATTATGATACCGCACTTGAAAATTTTCAAAATGCTTTGAAATATTTTTCGAGTCGTCATAAATGTTTGCAATCGACTTTTAATACTATTGGTCTAGTTTATCGATCAAAAAGAGATTTTACACAATCGCTTATTCATTATAAAAAAAGCTTTAGAAATAATTTCAGATGATTATTGTTTAGTCGCTGTTATTTGTTATAATATTGCAACTATTCATGATGATAAAACAGATTATAAACGTGTATTAGAATTTTATGAAATGGCATTTAATCATGTTCCTAAAATTGATGAAGAAGTTAATGATTTACTAGTCAAGATCTATAATAATATGACAAGAATATATAAAACAAGATTTAACTATCAACAAGTCATTCATTATTGGAAAAAAAGTATTGGAAATAGAATTAAATTATGATGCAATAACGAAAGACCATGCGGTGCTGGCTACGTCCTATAGTAGCGAAGGTACTATTTATTTTTGTATGCGTAATTACAAAGTTGCTCTTCAGAATTATGAAAAAGCCCTCGAAATCGTTACGAAACGATCATCCGCATGTTGTCGAATATCGAAATTATATCGCCGCTACTAAAAGACATTTAAATCGATACTGTTTCTAAATACTATGATAATAAAACTAATTGAATAACTATTTTTTATGCAATTGTTGTAAGGCTACTGGTTTTTTAAGTCATTTCAAAACAATATATCCTAAACCGTGAACGTTAAGAAAATTTGGCCAATGCGGAAACTGACGTAGCTATCAAAAGAATACGTCTCTTTATACGTAGTATGTATATGTAGTATTAGAAATATTGTAAATATGATTGTAGAAATAAAACTAAGTCGTGCAATAATAGTAATTGAATCGAGTTTATTAATAATGCAAAAAAAAGAAAAATTAGTTTTTAAAATTATGCAAGTGTAGCATTGGTACATCTATTGCAGGTTCCACAACATTTTTGATAAATTCGACAATCAGCATCTGTTTTACATGCTGGCAGACACACAGGAAGATGGATTGGTATATCAAGAGGTCCAAAAACAATAGGAGATGATACTACTGGTGGACAACAGCCTTGATGCTCATTCGGACAACAATAAGCTCTATCGTATATATTCACTTTGCATGTACCATTGCGAGATGCGCATAGTCGCTGTCCTTGTCCACAAGGAACGTTTTGAAGTGGTTGACCAAATTTGCATGGATTACATCGATTAGGTAACGGAAATAAAAGGCATAGAACATTTGGATTAATAGTAACTGGAGGAATTTTTATGGTTGGACGTGGAATTAAAATTGGTGTAACAGGAAGTAAAACGATATCAGATGGACCTTCTTGAGCAGTACATAAGCAGATAATAGTCAAAGTTGCTGCTAGCAACTGTATAGTTAACTTGTGCATCGTTCTTTGTTAATGTGAAACTTGATTAGTATTTTGGAATATTTTGCTCGCTTTGTAAAACTGATGAGATTTATATAGTATTCTATTTATTCGTAGGCACGACTTCAAGGCAAAAGAAATAGGTAGAACTGCGTAGTCGACATCATATTTTCTTTTGTTTTTGTGGGCTAATGTGGAGCTATTTTTGTTAATGTATCGATTAGTAGGGAGTGACTTCAAGCAAAAGAAAGAGATAGAACTCAATAGGCGACATCATATTTTCTTTTGTTTTTGTAGGCTAATGTGAGGCTATTTTTGTTAATATACTTGATCGCTGTGCAGATAAATTTGAACTAATTATAGAATTTATGTTGATCCGATATATAACTTCGCATATGCATGCAACTTAATTTTTGTTCTTTCTGTGTGTGGCGTAATTTACATAGTCATATAAGTTTTGCGCATCGTATTCGCACATTAGTGGGTAGTTTCTTGGTCTTTTTATAGGAACTAATGATCAAAAATCGATAAATAAGTTAACGACGGATATTTCACCAAATACGTAGTTGAATTGTGTAACTAAAATTAGGTTTTCCGAATGTGAAAGCAGATTCGAAACGAATACTTTTATTTGAATTTATAGGTATTCCATGCTAAGAACAATACTTGAACATTGATAAAGATATAAAACGATGATAAATAAGATAAGTAACGATGATTTATCACTAGGAAATTTCTGATAAAAAAAATTCAAAGCCGTAAAAAGTTTATTTGGATTTTATGTATCCTTACAAAGGCAAAAGTCTATCAAGATTGTTCAGTAAGCAAGCACAGCGAACAAGAAATCAACTTGAGAACGCTCTTGTTTTGAAATATGATTTTCAAAATAATTTCTTACTCACTTTGAATTTCTCATTTAATTGAAAGAGTACTTTTTGTTTTTACAATCGTACTGTTGAATCATGGCACGAATGTCCTTCAGATTTTCGCCCTTGACAAAATGTCCCTCGGACTAATCGTCCTTTATACAAATGTCCTGTGGAAAGATGTCCCTTATGTACACATTTTTTTGAAAGACCATATTATAAAGGGCTATTTTTGAAGAATATTTCTTACCAGGGACATTCCGTAAAGGACATTTTCTGAAGGACGTTCGTGCCATGACTCGTACTGTTTCATGACGTCAACAGTGAGTAATCAAATTTATTTGTATGAAACTTGATCAGACTCAAGAGCTTCGCAGCCGAAGGAATTAGCTGCGGAATGCACAATTCAATTTTTAGATTGTATTACTTCGTGAGTATAGAAGACCAATATGTACATCTTTAATTTAAGCTGAGGTAACTATGACTCTTTTAGTGAACTAGGTAAATTAATGATAACTTGACAAAGAAAGTACAAGTTTGATTAGTGATGAATATTATTTTGTGTAAGAATTTCTCTTCTGATGGCATTCCATGGGAGACATAAGTATTGAACATTTGATAAATAAAGTATTTTGTTTTAATGGAATTCTCATATATTGTGTTTTACAGTTGATTGTCGCTTGGAACACAAATGGAAATGTGTTCCTTGTTTTACAAGTTTTTCTGGACAATTTATTGAATATTTTATAGCAAGGTTCACAAGTGTTTTAAATAGTTCATCGTCCTTTCTCATCACTGATGATTATTGTTGGGAAAAAAAGAAGAGACTAATCTATTAGAGTAGTGTCTTGCTGAAATATTTAAATGTCAACTTCCGAATGATAGATAAAGACCTATTGATAAGATCTTGTATATCTAAAATATCATTTTATCATGACGAAGAAATAGTTGAGCAGGATTTTATGCTTGTATGAATTGATTCTCTTAAATCTAGTTTGCATAAATATATCTCGATTAACGATGATTAAAAATATGTATTTGTTTTAGAAAAAATTCTACAATTATAAGCCATACAAAAGGCATTTTTTTGCCATGCGATTGAATACACATTTATTGGATAGAGTCATATAGATACTGTTTCTTCACGTATACCGACTTTTCCCCTACGATAAATTGCAGTTATTAGTTTAGTGAACATTATATTAACTTGCTCTTAGTCCTAGTAACTAGATTAAAACGTAATGATTATTATTGACCGTTTCGCTGTTCTAAGCTCTCAGAGGAGTAGCGTAGTTAAATAAATAAAACGTTTTGATTTAAGCGAAAAGAATGTTAAGAATCTCTAATTTTTCAAAATGAACTATATTTGATATAAAAGAAGATTCAATGTTTATTGTGATGACGGTTAAATTTCAGTGAATACTCATTGATAGTTCTCTCTTGCAAAATCCATTCTATTTGACAAAAGTCTAATAGGCAAAATACAAAGACAGATTTGAAATTCGTTTCTGGACTATTTTATTACAATCGCAAAAACATGTAAAAATATATTTACAAGTATTGAATGCATTGTTAATTTAATTTTAATAAAGAAGTTGATTCAATTGTCGACTGAGAAGATGCAATTGTGGACTATCAATGTAACTATCACATGCATAGCAAAAGACTGATCGATCTGAATAACTAAGACAAATATTATGTCCGGTTGATTCATGATGTTTTAGCATGTGTTTTTGTTGGTAACGAGAGCAACCAATCTAATAAAATTTCTTTTTTATGCATATAGTTTAAATTACTGATGAATAACGTACGTAATTACAATCTCCATGTAGACATGCCCAGTTCTCTTGCTTACTATTACAACCAACGCAGGGCGGTTGTTGGTCCTCTTGCTGTTGAGTCGATTGAAGTAATACGTAAGCATTTTCACCCAAATGAGGACAATCGTATTTTGGTACGATAGCAAATGGCTAAAACCAACGAATTTCATGTCGAATTTGATTAAAAGAAAGTACTATCACTTACACCTATCCGATTGTCATTAGCTGGAGGTTCAGAAGATGCTGATTTATTTGACTGACTCATTCTTGTTCTTAGTAGTTAACTGCGATAAAATGTAATCGAAATCAAGTAAAATGTGTGCATTATATACTTCCTATATTTGATTACCTGAGTGTGGTGAAAGACTCCAGCGTTGTAGAATAAGGGACACATCAATTAAATGGCTATTGGCTGAGTCATTCACACCCTATTTGGTGTTACGTGTTTTCGTTCTGTGACCAAAAAAGAAAGAAAGAACAAAAACAAAATTGAGGTAAAAAGAGTCAGATGACTTTCTAGACGTTTTGAGAATATTATAGACAGGAAACATGCAGTTACGAAATATCGGAGGATAGTGTACATCAATGACTAAGCTATACATTATAGAAACTGTTTGATGAAAATAAACATCTAGTTGCATCCTTTTTTGCCTAGAGCTACTTGCGATAACATACGGCTGTATGACTATGCAAATGTCGAGTCACAGCTATTATGTCTTACTAATTCTGAGTCGAGAATATTTCACAAGCAAGTCTCAATATTGCCTTTTCAACTAGAAACATAGTAATTTATAGAAATAATATTATTCACTCAATGATGACTATTCGTAACAATATATTTAGCAAATTATTTTAATGATAAAAAGCTTATGGTAATAAAATGTCATAAATATGTATCAAGTGAAAATGTGTTGATTATGAACGATGGTACATTCATGATCCACAACTTCCATGCAATCTCTCACCTGGTTTGTTTATCTATTTCTTATCAGTTGTTTGGTTTCAGCGATTTTACTAATTTATTTTTCCATGTTAAATATCACTCGCGTAGCTTTAAAATGAAATTAGCTTTTGAAGAGCGCAATCTATTTGAAAATGAGAGTACCTTTCTGCTATTTTCTACTCACTAAAGTTGTCAGTTCAATTTTTTTCTGCAGCTTCTGATGTGACACATTAAAAGGATTTTATCGAAAATTGACGATGCTCTAGCTGAGCATCTGAAAGAGAGTAAATTTTGAAAGTAAAATAACTGAGACTAAAAACGGCCTATGGCAATAGTAAACTAGTTAGCTATACGATAAATTTACTGCACATTAGCTTATTGGTTTTTCACAGTGTATATCTATATGAAAGTTCTGGACGTTATATAATTAGTTCTGCTATGAAAACAATGCGTCAGTGTGTATCACATGCTTCTTTATTTATTTTTCATGAGATAGAGGTCGCATGATATGATACTATAATTTGCAGGTAAAAAGTATTTATCTTCTGTGCCTTTTTGCGAAAGAAGACGAAAGAAAAGTAAATGCTGATATACCCTTTTAAACTGATGATTGTATACATAGCGAACACAAAACATATAATTTGCAATCTGATTAAATAATATAGTGATACGATTAATTCCCTATCTGCTATATAAGTGTAGCCGTCCGATCCTATATCGTCTTTCTTGGTTTCTTCCATTTCTCTTCTAGCGTTCGTCAATACTTTGACTCATCTTGTTTTCTTATTCTGCTTGTTCTCTCCTTATTTTTCGTCTTTGACAATAGAAGATGGTTTTGTGATTCTCTTTTTCAACGGCACAGTCGGCTTGCTTTTGTTCAACAAAGGTCAATTCATTCGTCTATTTTCGTCTTGCATTTATACATAAAATATAATGAATACACCGAAGGATTACCTTTGCCCAATAACACTTGAGATTATGGATTTACCTGTTATATTAATTGAAGATGGACGTAGTTATGAAAAACGTGAGCTACAGCGTTGGCTACAGAATCACAATACATCACCAACAACGAATAAAGTTTTAAAAAATAAAGATTTTATTATAAATATCAGTTTAAAGAATGCTATCGAAGAATTTCGCGAAAAGCAGATAAAAGCACAACACTGTGAAACACTATCTCATACGTTAGAAATCAAACCTGGAGGATTACCACAGGAGTTTCAGAATACGATATACTCTCCATTGCGTATTAAAATATGCCTATTAGGTGATTCTTATGTTGGAAAAACATCAATTGTTAAACATTTACAATTTCAAAATCGTGTTTCGAAAACGGAATACGTTACTACATGTGGACCTGATGTTGTCCCGCTACATTTAAATCGTTTATTTGATGATCATTATGCTGTTTCAATACATGTATATGATTTGCCAGGTGAGCTTAAATGGAAGGATGTATGGAAAAGTCAATATAAATGTCACGGTGCTATATTTGTATGCAACGTAACTGATCATAAAACGTTAATAAGTATTGAAAATGAATGGTATCCTGCATTGAAAACATATGGCTTCGATTTATTTGAAGGTGTACTGTTATGCAACAAAATCGATGTGGGTGAAGATTTTGAAGATCAAATATTTAAAGATGCACACCGATTTTCAACAAATAATGATTTATCCTTATTTCATACATCTGCAATAACAGGAAAAAATATACAGGCTATGTTCAACCACTTGGTGTTAAGTATATTGAGTAATCGATTGTTGTTGAATCAATTGAAACAAAATACTGGCAGTACAAGTAATACTAAGAATAGACATAATGAACGATCGACTATAGTAAATACAGAAAATATCGTATTAACCGAGAAGAGGAAAAGAGACCAAGGCAAAGGAAACAAGAGTGAATGTTGTTGTTCAAAAAACTAAAACACCTTGAATGTCTTTTATATTACTAATTTTTCTAATGTATCATTTATTTTCTTCTTATTGATGGTTTATTAAAAATTAACGAATTTTACATCATCTTGATAATACTCTTCATCGGATACTAAGTTACAAACAAGCTACTAGTAGATTTTTTTCATTTTCTTTCTTTTCGATCATTTATTCCTCATTAGTGAAACAGAGAAATATTCAATTTATGGAGTCTATCATCATTTATGATCACATTGGCAAGAATAATCCTTTACGTATATTAAACTGTATAAATCGCCTGTTTCTCACGAATTGCCTATTTGGTATATTGTCGTTAATGTATTAATCATCGTAGAAGAAGATCCACTACTGCAAGAAATATTTTTTCTGAAAAAGAGCGTTTTCATTTTTAAAAATGACTACATCATGTTTCATCGAGAGCAAATAATGAATTTTATAACTCCGGATTGACTGATGCGATGTGCATGGCATCATCCACGACTCTATTTAGGCTAAAAATTCGATTCACATTATTCTACCACGATATTTATTGCCAAATTTTATCATATGGTGAGATTACATACTGTGCTCAAAAATATACAAGAAAATAAGGTATACCAACGTATCGTACGGAACATATTACACTTTAAAAAAATACAGACTACGTGAAATGAATTATTGATTTCGTTTTGAAAACAACATAGCAGTCATTAATTAATAATCGTGCTCACTAAAATTGTTATTTAAGAATTGAAAATTACTAATCACGCAACATTAGTCACTTCTCAAAATACTCTGTCAGTACAGTTCATGATGTTGACTTGAATGATGATTTATTTGCAATTTTTCTAGTATGTTTCATTCGAACAGCAAGGCTTGAGCAGTAGTAGTATTAAATAATTACACAATTCTAAAAGATCAATTTTTTAATATTTATTCTGAATTCTCATCTATCTGATTTATTTTCGTTTTCAAGTTTCATGGCTTTGTTTCAATATGTACTTCTCTTTGTAACCTTTACAATATTGAATAAATGTTAAATATCGTTTCCTTTTAAGAAAGCTTCTTCATGTTACTGAATTGATAGAGTAAATGGAGGGTGTGAACGTGGGTAGGTGGCAATCTTCTTCCTACTCATAGACACCTACACCCACACCCTACTTGCTCAGATACCCATATGGTTACATTTCATTTGAATTCATTTGTATTTCATTGAACAAATGAGGCGATCACTTATTTTTAACGCTCTTTATTTTATATTTGGACACCCACGCCTCTCACGAAATCAATGCCATATTGATGAGACCTTTGAGTGAACTCGAAACCTGTCATGGTTTATCAAGACTCGTCCTCTCAAGATAATTGCTAGTTTTTGGTATTCGTATCTTCATTAAGTAACTATTAAACCAATCTTAGCTACAGATTATAGCTTCGAATAAATAAAACGCAGCTACTTGACAAGCGATATTTCTGGAATACGATTTTATTAAAGTATCCAAATCAAATAGCGAAGCATTACAATAAAAATAAGACAAATGTATCAGTGTCTGTTCTCGCATAGGTACACCGAACCATTAGCTTAAAAAAGCAATACTTCATCAAGCTGCCAATATAACCATCATTATCAAGAGCAACAACATGACAAACATCACTATGACAACCACCAAGAGGGTAATTTGGCTCCGTGTTCGATGATCCTTGTTGATGCAATGATGATTGCTCGTTTCCCATCTTTGAAAGCTCCTCTAACGAAATTTGCCGAAAACTAACTTACAAATATTCTGGTTCCATTCTAAGGAATTTGAAACTCGAAGGAGGTTGTGTTCTTGAAGACTAAGAATTCGGAGTGAATTTTGTTCTCGGAAACCCAGAGCCTAAGTTGAACTTTTAGAAATCGAAATCACACTACAATTTTCTTAACTCTTATGTCACGCAGTTCAGAAATTCATGCTTTGTTGAATTGTTAGTCACGCTATTCTGCAGTTACTTTTGTAATATTGTTTCGATCTGAAGAACGCATAGGCGTTCATTAAGAATGTTGATTTTGTAAACGGTCAGTATCACACTCAATCACAATGTTAATAAAGAATCAATTGAAACGATGCTTCAGCTTGCTTTTCTCTTGCAGAATTTCGGAGTTAACTGTTGCAAATTTATAACTACTTATATTTAATTGAGCAATAATTTATTTAAATTAGAGATAAATTGTGCATAAAAATAGGCAAAAACAAACAAAATAGACGGAAATAGGTTTGGGTGTTGAGTAGAGTCCACCCGGTCCGAATCTGAAAAGTACACTGATCGAATGCAGCCTGACAGAAAAATGTGATGTTTATAACAATAATTGATCAGTTTTTGTGAATTTTCGTTCGTTTTATCCGAAAAATCTTAATCGTATTGATAAAAACTAGAAGATTTTGTTGTCCGATCAGAAAAATTCCTTGAGAGTGTTAAGAGTACCTTTAAATTCTGGACTACGAAAAAATTTAGCGTCAAGAGCCCAGTTCGGTTTCCAATGATTTTACTCAGTCGAGTACAAGTCCGGACCCAAGTGCATAAATTTTTCGATCCGATGAGCTCTACTGCAGGATATAATTTTCCTCTTAACTCATACCCACATCCACACGTAACTGAGTCAAAAATGTGGAAATTGGTACAAAAGGAAAAAAAGATTTTACTGGCACAATGATTTATGGCACATTCAATATTATAAAATTGGCCAAATAAAGTTTTTTATTGCTCCAAAATTATTGTTAAATCGTATTTTAATTATTGCTCATTCCAATAGTTTGATAGTCAAAAAAACTACAAGCCTTAAATAATCATTCTCATTCACAGAATTTGGTTGAAAACTAATTACATTCTAACGTTTTTCACTGGTCATCTTATCATGTTGAGGGAAGTGATCCTACGGAAAAGTTTATCAGCTGAATTAGATTCTATTTATTAATGATTCGAACGTGAGACATGTATCTTCCCTGATTCAGTTTCATGCGTTTGAAATAACAAAGTATTCAACTGATTTCGTCATTGCTTTTATGTGAAATTTTCAATATTAATAATACATTGCTATTGTTATCCGTGAATAAACTACAGAGTTTTCAATCAAAGAATATTATTACTAGAACTATAATATAAGAATACTTTCTCGATTTACTTTCGCATTCGCTAAGATTTCTAAATGGACTTATGATTTAAAAGATGTCTGCTTGAATAATTTATTAAGATTCTCAATACCGTTATTTGCATTATTTCAAGTATCTTTGTTCAGAACACTAGCTTATTAGATTTTTTTGAATATTACTTAGGAATACGAATTTCATGGATATTTATTTAGTATTTCAAATCATATGCAACTAGTTTTTGTCTATCTTACTGAAACGTGTATAAAAGAAAAAATTGCAATCACTGGAGTCCTCAATTGTATACCGTTTTAACATGTTTTTATCATATCATCAATACTTTCTCAGTTAAAGTCCTTGCGCAAGATAAAAAATTGAGATAATAACCAGCAAATTCGTATTGACAAAAACAATGTGTGATAATAGAAAGCAAATAAACTGAGTATTCTTTTTTTCAAGATTTACAAGCAACACGTTCTTATTTAAGTAGTGGACTGCGAGCGTACAGTTACCGGGATTCTTTCCATTATTTGTATACATAGAATAACGAGATATTTATTTCTAGACTAACATTATACTATGTCTGACGTTGATACTAAAATCGCTTCGTTGAAAATCGAAGCACCCGAAGCTCTTGTAAAACAAACAGAAGAATTTGCGAAGCAAAGTAATTTATAATTTCAATGATATTTTTATAATAGAAATATACTTCGATATTTGAATTCTCCAATTTCTAGTTATCACTATTCTTCCTGGAATACATTGTGCCGTTGGATATGGCCTAGCAAATAGTATGTTAATTGAAGGTGATGATGGAAATATTATAATTGATACATTGGAATCATGCGAAGCTGCCATTGAGCTTCATAAAGATTTTCAAGCAATATCATCAAAGCCAGTGGCTGCAATTATCTATACTCACAATCATGCCGATCATGTGTTTGGTACTGAAGTGTTAGCTGGTGATAATTTATCAAATGTGAAAATTTATTCGCATGCAACAACTCGAAAAATGTTCGATATAACAGGTCTTATTCAAAGGACTACTTTTCAGAGAGCAGCAAGACAGTTCGGTATGTATTTGACCGAAGCACATGGAATTGTGAATGATGGTATTGGTTTACATTTGAAATTTGATAAAAATAGCCGACGTCCACTTTTATATCCAACTGATACATTTGATACAGATAGTTTGAATTTAACAATAGCCGGTCGAAATTTAGTTTTATATCACGCACCAGGCGAAACCGATGATCAAATTGTGGTATATATGCCAAAGGAAAAAGTCCTATTCGCAGCTGATAACATTTATAAAGCATTTCCAAATATCTATGCGATTCGTGGTACCAGTACGAGAGATGCTATTCAATGGGTTTCCTCACTTGATTTAATGCGAAATTTAAGAGCAGAATATTTGGTTCCCTCTCATACGAAACCTATATCAGGCGCCGAATATATCTATGAAACAATAACAATTTATCGAGATGCAATTCAATTTGTACACGATCAAACTGTTCGGTTCATGAACCAAGGTTTTACACCGGATGATATCATTGGCAAAAAATTTATTCAATTGCCAAAGCATTTAAAAGAACATCCTTATTTACAAGAATTCTATGGCACTGTAGATTGGTAAGGCTATTCACTATATTTTTCTACTTCATTTTCATGTCGCTCGTGGGTTTTACCCTTAATTAGATGTGTAGGTTTAAATCATCAACTTCACATGAGCCATATCAATCATTTTTTCGTTTTTCAGGAGTATTCGGGCCATTTTTGATCGATACATAGGATGGTATAGCAGCAAAGAATCTGATTTAAATCCTGATGCTCCAAGCATTCGTGCACAAAATCTAATTCGACTTGGTGGTGGTAGTATAAAAGTATTTGAAAGTGCTCAAACTGCATATTCAGAAGAAAAATATCAATGGTGTTTAGAATTAACTGAAGCTCTCAATCTTCATCCTGAAGATTTAAATAAATCCGAAATCATTCAGTTACAAGTTTTAGCATTACAAAAATTGGCTTCATTTCAAACATCAGCCAATGGTCGAAATTGGTATTTAACAAAATCATTAGAAATTCAAGGTTTAATTGAAATACAGCCCTCGCCCAAGCAAGTATCTCAGACAATAATGAATGCTCCATTGAAAAGTTTATTCATGTTCTTATCTATAAATTTAAATTATCAAAAGGCTAGTGAATTTAATCAATTATTCTTGTTTCATTTTCAAGATACGAATGCAAAATTTAGTATTCATATTCGAAATGGAATAGCTGATGTTAAATATCAATGGCCGGAAAATATTCAATCGAAATCTATTGATGTGATTGTTGAAGTGACAAAAGAAGAAATTTGGAAACAAGTCATAGCACGTATAAAAGGCCCTATTGAATCAGTTTCAGATGAAGAAATTATACTCAAAGATGGCAGTGGAGAAATCAATCAAGAACTGATTGTTCCATTTCTTATTTTTTTAACCATGTTTACATCCGATTAAGTTTATATGAACATTTCTACAAAGTGTATGATGAATGTTTCCTTTTTCAACTAACAACAGCATTCACATGGCAAATTAAGATTTACAAAAAAAAGACGATTTTGCTTTTGAAACTCCTGGTTGTGATTTCGATTTGAACATGATTTTCAAGAATATTTAGTAGACATCAATTTTTTAACTCAATACATCTGCACAATAAAAAAATTTCATTTCTGATGTGTAGTATCAGTATCAGCTGACATGTTGTACTCACGTTCTGCATAAAGGAATATAAATATCAAAGAAATTAATACTTATAATTGAACAATCAGAATTCATTCCCTGCGATTCGTGATAGAAGTTGGAACTTCTATTTGACTCTTAAAGTGCTAATATCAGGCTAGAACCCTAAAAAGACTTACTTTTCGTTATGATGGTGATATTTAACTAAATAAAAGAGCAAAGCTATTGCTAGTAAATACATAACCTACTTCTATTGATGATATCAAGATTGATCTAAATCTAAAAGGAAAATTTTTTATAGAAGTAAATAGCTTACTGATTGTTACGATCTTGATATTGATATAAATAAGAGAAAAGCGTTTTACTTAAATGAATAGCGCTATGCTTTGCTGCTTTTTTATTCGCGGTACAACGTGGCACTACAAAGAGCCGCCGGTATATTGGCTGTATACTGGCGGTAGCTCAAGTAACTTCACGATATGAGTACCAATACAGATCGTAGAAGTCCAGGGGATTTTAAGAAAGATTTTCACGTATCTTATTCTTGCAAAAGCTCAGTGAGTCTAAAGCATATATGTGAGTTCACTGTAAACTTTCTATGAATTAAATTTTGTGGAAAATGAACTTTTGAAAGTCTATAGAATTTTGGTAATTTTATAAGTTGTAGTGCGAATTTCAAATTTTTAGAAAATATTTGGCTTTCTGTTCAATAGAAATTCATCACTCAATTTGTATGAATATTCTTAGAATATCTTGTGCGGATTTATATAGGCATTCTGTACTGAATAGTGTTGCATGTTTTAGTTCCGAATGGTCTACGCTGATACGCTATTTTAAAAGCAAAATGAAGACGTGACTAGTTTTAATGAATACATTCTTGTTGTAAGAGGTTCAAGCAATCGATAAATAGTAGAAAACAACCTTTAACTATTGTTAAGCCAGTCATAGAGCTTGACACTAGTTTGAGTTCTAATGAATATTGGCCCTTTATCGTTTCAAAAAATAGATTTTATAAATCTGATAGTTCTCGATACAACTGGATACATTCTTATTGCGTTGGAGAATTTTTTCGTTGTGTTATGTTATGTTACATTTTAAAATGGTAGCCCCCTTTGTAAAAGCAATTAAATCGAGAGACTTCTGTTACTGTTGTGGATGTTGTCGTTGTTAATCGTAGTGTAGCAACACACAGAATGTGCGTGTCAGAGAAAGAAAGAGAGAGAATGGGCGGAGAAAGAGTGTATAGCTTTAAGCATTTCTGAAGACTGTTTTCTATTTTTTCAATGATTTCATTTCAGAAACTTTTTGTCGCAGTCTTCTTAACATTTAATGTAAGCTAATTACGATTCTGCTCAATATTTATAGTCGCCTATTTGATAGAAATTTTCTTGAACTGTAAGAGAATAACTTCTGATAAATATCTGTAAAGTCGAATCAACAAGATTGCCACTGAAAGAATTATTAAACATCTCCTACGAGTCTCGATAGAAAATAAAATCCAACTTACTATTGTTGCTGTCAACAAATATTTATGCTTCTCAGTCTAAAAACCAAGAATTCGAGGTTTTTTTTACAGTGAGTACATCACACCACTTCCATGTTATTCCATAGAGCGAAATATAGTATCTGAAATAAATCACGTTGTTATATTCTCACAGTAACACGTCAAAAGAATAAAGGTTGCCCATTTTGAAGTTTTCATATAATATTTCTGAGAGTATAGTTCGAGAATTGGGAAGCACGAATGGTATAATTCATTTCTCCATGGGATTCGGATACAATTTGTTGCAATTTTTTATCTTGTTTTTTGTCTCAAATTTCACGATAAAAGCTCGAGAAATGGGCCCGATTTGATCGAAACAAAAGTGGTCTATGTGTCTATGTCTACAGTGGTAGTCTTCTGGTAATAGTGTAAAGCTGTATGAATCTAATTATCCCAGCTACAATACGATACAATATAGAAGAGTTGCTAGTATTCGTTTTCTGTGCTTTTATCAAAGTTTACTCTACGTACTCATTGAAAAGTTCTTTTTTTCTCATCAAGAATTCAGACAGAATGCTTTGAAAATCGTAGAGAAAATGCTGTGCTATTCTATTAAATTCATCGTGACCTGCACTTTGTGATCAAAAGAACGGCAGCTCTCAATGTTGTTTCCATCTTGAGGGTTATTCGAAAAAGGCTCGCAATCCTTTTTTTTGTTTTTTTTTAAATAGAAAATTGTTGCGCCTTCTCAGTAATAATTATTTGGATATCAGGTGAGACAGACAAAGTTTTTATATAGTTCATGTACTTCTTTTTTTATGATTTTCAAACTATGTTTGACTTTTATTTGATAATGATAAAAGGAAGTCTATATTCCATAGAATATGACAGACCTTGTTTATTTTTTCTATTGGTTCTTATAGGAGAAATGAGAACATTGCTTTAAATTCAGTTAATAACTATATGATTTTTTCATCGTGTAAAACGTAATAGAATGAGCCATAGTAGTGTATATTCATCCTACTAAGATAACTACAAGCCTCTGCATGGAATGAAATGCAATACGACATAGTTCATAAGTTTTATATGATTTTTCTTTTTTTTTCTAGGAGCTAACTGTCGTTCTAGTTTGTTCGCATTTAAAAGCAGTGAAATGACTTATTCTACTATTTCAACATCGAAAAAGATGTGCAACTAGGTTATGGGAAGTTAGATATGGGAAAAAATGAAGATGCTGTTCAGAGGAATTTCATCTAAATGTTTTACTTCAGCTTTTAAGTTGAGATGCCTTGGCTATTTTAAGCAGACTCAAATAGGTTCTTGCAATATGGCCATTCTATCGATTAAAATTTTATCTTTTGAATAAAAAATGTCCCAGTTTATTTTATTATATAGATATGCAAACAAATGAATATGCCCAAAAAACAACATTATGCTAGTTTACTTTTTTGTTCGGCGCATTTGCTGTCAAGTTGATGATATTGTTTTATATGTTTACACATGTCATTCACCAGCGATTGATCCTCAATATTTTGTACTGCAAGGCGGCCGATAAATGGTGAAAATAGATACGTCTCGATTATGTGTGCACTGGTTATTATTCTATGTGAACTGTTGACATGACGGGTAGAAGCCGTTACAAATGTTTGTCCTGGCTTTATCATGCTAGCGTTTATTCAGATTCGTTCATAATATTGAAGAGATTAAGTTTCGTCATTCTTCATAAATTTTTTTGTTTCCAACGGTGCTTTTTCACGAGGAATGACAACAATACATCGATTAATATATCGTTTTTTTGTACTCAAAAAAAGAGAGTACACTATAGAAGCGGGCAGTGTGTCCGTCCGTTCGTCCGTTTATTCGATAACTCTTCACAATTACATTCGATTGAGCTGATATTTTGTGCACAGAATTGTCTCATCAATATCTAGGTCGAGTTCGAAGATGAGAAGGATCTGTAAAGAAATGGCTGAGGATCGAAAAAATTGTCATTTTTGATCAGACCATCCCTGAGAAGGGGTACAGGGATTTTTCAAAAAAAACTTTTTTTTCTCAGAATTACCCACAACATATATAAATCGACTCAGCTTTTAACGCTGATTCTAAATCTGATATTAGTTTTGAACTAAATCGAAGCTTTCTAACGAAACATCGTCTGAAAAACGTCTCAAAATGCACAAAAACTGCATCCATAAATCAAATTGCCTAGTTTCTCATGATAATTTTCTTGTTCAGACATTCTAGAATGACTCATATGTCCCATGCACTTTTTGCAGTACACATAACTCTCGGATGAAATCCGAAGTTTCCACATTTTTATGTATGATCTTTGATCTTAATGATAAACTGTAGACTGATAATTGCATTGATTTCGAGTTGAAGTACATATTAGCATGTGAGCGATTCAAGAATCTATACAATTTTCTAATGATAATCGAATCTTTTTTGAAGGAGAGAATACACTCACTAGATAGATTTAGCTATAGATTTGATAGTTAGAATTTCTGCAGTATGATACAGCAGTAAGGTGTAGTGCGTATTTTATAGCAAAACGGTGTTTCATTATTTATTTTTACAACACTTGTGCATGCAAAAATGTCTTCCTTCCTTCCTTCCCTAATTATCTTTATATTCTTTCAGAGATCCATATTGAATTTGAGTCTTGATATACATGGGCATTTGAGTATACCATATAGCGGCTTGTTAATTTATGAGAGTCCTTTTAATTCCATCGGTCTTCGCTGATATTCATTTACGTTATGAATGCTATTAGATTCTATTGCCATCATCGCAAATATTTATTTGCTTTTATTCGACATTAAGTCCAAGATAATGAACAATAAACAACTATTCGCAACTGTCCAATCGGCAAGAAAAAGTGGTGTTTCATTATAGAGTACACCTATAAAGCTATGAAGTGAGTGAGAACCTCGTGCAGACAAAAGCAATGTATTTTTTGTATAACGGCTTAAAGGAAGGTTTGATCGATCGGCAATATATTCCTTTCGTAGGTGAAACGATTCTTTCACAAGTAAGCTAGCTTCGCTATGAGCATTTCTAGAAATAAAATATGCCATAAATCTGTAAGATCTATATATTTTTATCGAGGTTCTACAGTCTGCAACCATGAACATATCAGAACTTCTTTATTAGAATAGCGGTTTAGATAGAACTTATTATTTCAGATATCTACAAACATATACAAGATCATTGTTGACAAGCACTTTAGTGCATATGAAAGACGAATTTAGTAAAATATCATCTTCATCAAAACAAATGCTACAAGTAAATAAAATCTTAGTTAGATTTATACATCAAATTAATAGAAAAATTTTCTTCAGAATGTACCAGTAACAACGACAAATATTGATGATGAAAAATTCGAAGAGGCTCCAACTTGGGTAGCTGTCATTACTGTACTCAGTTTTGCTTTACATACTGCACTTGGATGGTTACGTGATTTTCTTCGTTATATTGGTTTGGAAAAGAAGAAAATTGTTATAGATCCTAATCCAAAGGTTCTAATAAACATACCTCGTAGAAATTGATTTATAAATATTTTACTTCGTAGGACTTTGCACCACTCTATCTGAGTTACGAATGTTTCTATACACGTAATCTTTATCAACGGGTTCGGGATGTATTCAATCAGCCTATTGTAAGTATGGCTGGACCGATCGTCGATGTAATGGAGCGTGTTTCAGACGACTATAATTGGACATTCAGGTAAGCTCATATACAGAAGTCACAGGGAAAAAATGAAACATTTATGCTCATATGTAAATTTTTGTCAATATAGATTTACTGGCAGGAGTTTGCCAGCGATCAATTTGGGTTCATATAACTATTTAGGTTTTGCTGAAAATAGAGGTCCATGCGCAGAACAAGCTATAAGCGCCATTGAAGCCTGTGGAATAGCGACTTGCAGTACTGATCAAGAACTAGGCACGTTTTTCTCTTTAGGAATTACGTAAAACCGTTCTATTTATTCATTATTGTATTCATAGGAACTCAACAGTATATGAGAACGCTTGAATTCATGATGACAGATTATCTCGGAGTTGAAGATTGTATAGCTTTTGGTATGGGCTTTGCTACTAATGCGTTAAACATTCCAGTAATAATGGGCAAAGTAGCGTAGCATTGTATTGTTCCTTTGTTCGTCAAAATGTGTTTTATCATAGGGTGATCTTATACTGAGTGACAGACGTAATCATATTTCAATTATTCTTGGTGCTCGACTATCTGGCGCACGAATTTGTACATTCAATCACAATGGTATGTAAACGTTATCGAAATGACTGATTTTGATTCAGATCGATCTTTAAAAATAAATTTGTTGCCTTACTTTATTGTATCCAAATTTTTTCCAAAATGGTAAATTATCCGCTTGAAATTTATAGTACTCTTCTTGAACGTAGGTATTTAAAAAAAGAACGTAAAGATAAAATACTGATATTTAATGTAAGAGATTTTTGTTTCACTGAATCAAAAGTCGAAATGAATATTACACTCCAAATAAAATGTGCCGCAGGTTCAGTGTCGAAAATATGTTGCAACAGAAAGTGTTACTAAAAACATTGTCTTCTTCTGTGTGTCGACTATTGATTCACCCTTTTCTTTTGCGTAAAAGGTCCTATATAGAGAACTCGATTGAACATACGAAGTTATGTATTTTCATTTAAATATTTTTTAGATTATTTCTCGATTAATAACTAGCGAAGAGAATGCCTATGTTGGTCATTAATCGAGGTGAAACTACCCGAAAATGATCTGGTAAAAACCGGACCGACTCGAGACCAGCCAGATCTAAAGATCTGACTAGTTTGAGGTTTCAGAAATGAAACTGTTCAAATAGACCAAAATCGAAAAAATTATCATAATATTTTTAATAAAAATAAAAATAAATTTCTGACTAGTGGGTTAAAAAAAACGTTTTCAGAATGTGTCGTATGTGTCGTGCAAAATGTGTTGTGCCATCGCTGGAGATAATATGTCGTAATGAGCATCTGGTATCGCACTCGAATGTGTCGTACATTGTGTCGCAAATCACGACACATTCGACACATTTAACCTTAGTGTGTAGTTTCGAAAAATGGAAAGCTCATAATCTGGTCATCGGGCTATAAACAGAAAACAACACATGAATGAGTTACATTGAGAAAAAAGTTAGGCGATATTACAGAGTACTCTTGAGAAGACCAGTATTTTATCAATCAATCACTGCTTTACAAGCTGGTTATAAAAAATACAATAAATATTTACATTTGTAGTACTCACAATAGAAGCAATATCTCATCAACAATGGGAAGGGAAAATGGATACGACTACTCCCACTTACAGAGATTTGCTTTGTTGTGGTAGTTTCGAATATTAAAAGCATGCAGTGATATCATTCCTACGCAAAATTTATGAATTATTTGCTCGGCTAGCAGATCGAAATGTTAACTTAGAAAGGAATCGGAAGAATGAATATTAGTGATGCGACAATGAGACAGAAAAAAATTGAAGATGAAATGGATTCCAGACTGATAGCTATAGATAATATAGTCAAACTATGACCTTAGACAAGTTGTATTAGCACACTTGCAATTTTGCTATCGTTCGCTCGACAGTGATGGCACGGATAACTGACGAGCAATCATTTTGATAGTGTGGGAAAGTCAAAATAAACTTTATATTAATTGTTTCTAATTTTTTGAGTTTACAGAACTTTCTATTTTCAATCCAAAAAACACTTGCATCAGAGCTGAGCACAGGACAAATTTTTCTGTCCTGCCCTGTCCTGATAGCCTGGTTCGTCCTGGTGGGCGGAAGGGCAGGACAAAAACTCTAAATTCTTCCTGTCCTGATTTGTCCTGCTATCCTGGTCTGTCCTGCGGGCGGCAGGGCTGTCCTGTCCTGTCCTGTGCTCAGCTCTGACTTGCATAACATTTTAGAAATTACGATGATGACTCTCTGTAAATGCTTTCAGCGTAACATAATAATTTTAAGAGGATTTCTGCTGGAAATTTTCTAACGTCATCGACTGTGAATAAAACAACTTCTTTTGTTAATATCATTATTCAGATTGACTTTCTTAGCATAATGTAACTTTTTCTCAAAGAGCTCATAGTTTAAAGGGTAGCACTGAGTTGACTATAGTGACGTTTCTAATTGAACTATTCGATTAATTTTCAGACATGAAAGACTTGGAACACCATCTATCTGAAGCCGTCGGAGATGGCCAACCAAGAAAATTTCGACCGTGGAAAAAAATTCTAATCATTGTCGAAGGTGTTTACAGGTGAATGCGAATCATTATTTATTTGTTTGATTTCAGTAATGTTGACTCGTATGGAATTTTAGTATGGAAGGTTCATTGTGTAAATTGCCGGAAATAGTTGCTCTGAAGAAAAAGTACAAAGCCTATTTGTATGTTGATGAGGCTCATTCAATTGGTGCAATAGGTTCACGAGGTCGAGGTGTTGTTGACTATTGGAATGTTGATCCGAACGATATAGATATACATATGGGTACATTTACGAAAAGTTTTGGTTCTGTCGGAGGCTACATTGCTGGGAAAAAGGTATGAGATAGTGTTTCAGATAGAGTTGGTCAACTTTGACTATTTTCATAGTCTTTGGTGGATTATATTCGAGTTCATTCTCATTCTGCATGCTACTCGTCTAGTATGTCCGCACCTATTGTTTATCAAATCATCAGTGCACTAACAATCGTCACAGGTCGAGATGGAACCAATGATGGTAAGTTGTGAAATTCCTAAAATTGTTCGAAAAAAACAACCTAAAAGTATTGAGAACTATTATACTAGATAAGAATCATACACTTTTTAAATTTTTCTAATACTACTTCAAGGTCAAAAACGCATTCGACAATTATCTCGTAATGTTCATTATTTTCGTCGTCAACTTGTCGATATGGGCTTTATTGTATATGGAAATAAGGATTCACCGGTGATCCCAGTGATGCTTTTCATACCGGCTAAAATTGCGTATGATACTGTGCTTGTTTCTTTTTCTAATATTGAGTGTTTCCTTAAAAAACTTTACAGAGCCGTCAACCGAGAAATGTTGAAGCGTGGCTGTGCTGTAGTAACTGTAGGCTTTCCAGCTACTAAGATTACAGAATCACGTGTACGGTTTTGCATATCTGCTAGTCATACCAAAGAAATGCTTGATCACGTAAGAAAGAAAATATATAATTGAGATACTTAAATAATTTTGTTTTTCGATAGGCGTTAAGAGCGTTTGATGAAGTGGGTTTTCTTACTGGACTTCAATGTTCCAAACGAAATCCACCACGTCGTTTATATGAACTCAATCCTGACAAGTATCTGGAAGAAGAATAATGTTTCTCTTTTTACTTTAATACTAATCATTGATTGATGACAAACTATCTCATCGTATCCAATGAATGAATTCAACAAATAATACTTGTATGTTATCTTCATTTGTTTTTACAGCTCATTCATCTAGGCCCTATGTTTTTATTGTTTTTACATGCTTCTGAACTATTTTCAATAAACTAATTGTAAAGAGCTTGTTTGATACTAATGCTAGCGATCTATATATCAAAATGAGGGTCCGGGTATGATGTGAGTATAAATCTTGGTGTCAGTCTCACTGGCACTACTATTGATGAATGGCATATACTTATTTCAAAGAATAAAAACTTATCATTCTCAACTGCATTGTATAGAACTTACATATGATTTTCGTAGAAAGATAAATGTAATTTTCTACTAGAATTTTTTGCTTTGCATCAGGTTCTCGAAACTTTTCATGATAACGATGTTAGTGGAAACAAAATACGCCTTCCGTCAGCCTCAGTGCAGAGAAATGGATTGAGGCACAACAAACACTAAGTTACAATAAACTTTTGAATATTCACATAAAATGCATTCTAATTTTTTTACCAAAGGAATCTTTCTATAGTAAACATCAATGAAAATGTCTCACGATCTATCTGTTTGGTATAGTTCATATGCGAGTGCCTAAAAAATTGTAAAAATGTGTGTCTATAACGAAATAAAGAGCTTTGCAGTTTTGAAATTCATTATTTCTATCGTTGATTAGTTTCTCGATATGTGATGGCATTGATAAGCTGATTTTGTCAGTAACACATCTGGTACTTTCTTACTCTATATAAATGTCAAAGAACATCTTCCATTTGCCTATCATGTTATGATGAAAGGCAAAAGAGAATTTTTTTCTGTAAAATACTACAGCTGGTTCAATTCGACATTAATGAAATAGCTCTTCATAGTATAAAGCTTTTCCCAGCATATATTAGTCAATATGCCATCAAACTTGGTCTCAGAAGAATTTGTAACTTTATTAAGATCAATACAGCAGAATTTATTTCGATACGGTGGACCTATTTTAAACGACATTGGTATAGTGTCAGCTGCATACTGAGTTTAGTTGAGTTTACTCAAAAAACACTTCGCAAAAGTTCTTGTTCGACTTATTTCGAAGCACTTTATATTGTTAATCTTTTGTTTCTTTACATGTCATTATATCCACTAACGCTTGAAATAGGGTACAACATAAATCTGAATTCATATAATCTTACCTGTTGTCGATTAAGTCTTTATATAGCTATCGTACTCAATACATTACACGCTTATTATTCAATCTTAATTGCTATCGATCATATTCTAGTTACTTCACCAAATGCACTGACGCAAAAAAGTGCTCGCAAGTTCGCCTACAGATTGACCATAGGCGAAGAGTTATTTTCGACGGTATTTTTTATTCCTATTTTAATTTTTACGAATCTCATACCGATCGGACCTAATGCTTTCTTTTGCTATTTTCAATCTGGTTGACATCTAATGTTCATGAGTTATTATTCACTTGTGAAAGAAACTATTGGGTCATTTTTGATGATTTTTCTCGAGATTTGGAGTGTAAAGAATATTCGAAGAGTGCGCTGTATTATTGCTATGAACACACTAGTGGACAATGAAAGCACAGAAGGTACCGTATCTCATTCTAACTCTTCTCGAGATTGACAACTTGTCTTTTTATTGGTCAAATATGTTATTATCTGTATTCTCTTTACTTTCATAATGGCAGTTTCACTTATATATGATCAGATGACACAATATCAAATGCAGAGTATCGCACAGATGCAAAAAGGAACTTTTCTCAGATATGTTGCTATTTTCAGCGTTAATATTCCATTTTGTATTGGTTGTTATACGAATTAATTCGTATCGAAAACATTCCGACCGGAAATGAGAAATATATTTTCTTATTTATTCAATTTATAATGATCAAGTCAAATACTAATATCAAGAACACAAACGTACATTGGTAAATGAACTTTGCATCGTTTATCTATTTTCTATGTGGGCTTTATTTTTTTGGCTCTGCTGAAAAGTTTCTTAGGAAAACCTTTTCAACATATAGAATACTGCTAGCAGCTATTTTACAGCCTGCCATTAAAATGAGTTTGTGTCAAAATGATGAATACGGTTCAATAATAACATTACAGAATCGGTGGATTATATTCGACAATAATGAAGTTCTCTGAAGATGATTTAGAACAAAAAATTTCGAGCCTTTATACAGAGCTGAATTTTTGCAACAAGGTTAGAGAGTAGATATTCCAATAATTGAAAAACATATACGAAGTAATTTAGTCTTGAATTATTAAAGCAATGAGTCAAATATTTCTTTTCTGATTAATTGAAAACGTAATCATCTCTATTGTCAGTAAGAAAATTATATTATCTTGGATTATTTTGATTTTATCGCTTGAAATAGCATGTTCTTCTTGTATAGGTAGGCTCTCCCTAACCGACAGGTCATTTAACAGAAATAAAAATATTAAGCCGTTAGAAAATGCTTACTTACACATGATACAAACCTTAAACAAAAATCTACACGATTCATCATGCTCTATTCTTTCCTATAATTCTCATATTTTTTTATATGAAATTTTCAGAGTTAATTTCATGTGATTTTTTTATCGATTCAACATTCACTTTGCAATGAGTTAAGCATATGTAATTTGTTGCTGATTCGTTTTCATTGCCAAGATACAAGAAATTTCGTAAAAATGAAAATAGATTTTATTTGTTTTCAAAAAAAATCGATCTGTTTTCAAGTAATTGATTAGGAATGTACCAATTCCAATTCCAATTCCAATTCTTGGCTTGGAATTGGTCTGAAATTGGTATAGAATTGACTCTAAATGAATGTAGAATTAACTGAAATTGATGATACAATTGATTATTCTTGACTAGCAGCCACTAGAATTTGCCAAAAATAAAATGAAGAAAGTGGAACGCATAAGGCTTTCAATCTGACAATCGAGATTTTTATCATAAAAGCTACAATCCAAGCCACAATTAATAACATATTTGGAATCAGCGTAAAAAACTGACTCGAACAATGTATATTTTAAATACTTTCGGTAACTTCTTTTTTCTACCGAAGATTCACCTGGGGTACTCCTCAGGGTTCAGTCCAATAATAAAAAATGACTTTTTTTTCTAGTGCTCAGGCCTGTGATATTTTCTATATTACTAAACATTTTACAGGCTCCACAGTTAATTACTGCAGTCCAAGTTGCTTTCTGATTAGTTTCTTTTTTTGACTGAACCCTGAGGGGTACTCCAGGTGAATTTTCGGTAGAAAAAAAAGTTACCGAAAGTATTTAAAATGTACATTGTTCGAGTCAGTTTTTTGCGCTGATTCCAAATATGTTATTAATTGTGGCTCGAGTTGTAGCTTTTATGGTAAAAATCTCAATTTTCAGATTGAAAGCCTTATACGTCCCACTTTCTTTATTTTATTTTTGGCAAATCCTAGCAGCTGCTAGTCAACAATAATCAATTGTACCATCAATTTCAGTTAATTCTACATTCATTTAGAGCCAATTCTATACCGATTTCAGACCAATTCCAAGCCAAGAATTGGAATTGGAATTAGTGCATCCCTACAATACATAGAAGCATATATATTTAAAACATCTTCTTATGTTTACCAAAAGAAAATGGAATTTACTTTTTAAAAGAATTCAAGTCGAAACGACTGAGATCAATATTCGTTCTTTTAGAAAGAAAAATAAATGTTTTTTGGGCCATATAAATAAATGAGTCATGAAAAAAAATGCTGTGATGAAAATACGATCGCGAAACGAAAAGGAAAAAGCATGCTGCTCCTTTCTTACATCGACAATTTTCAACTCAACTTGCGTCTTTAAATTGACGGTAGGTTTTATTTACTCAACATTATTTTATATTTAAGTAAAATAGAAAGAAACACTATGTTGGGAAAAAATATATAGAATGAAGATGAATATGCGATATAAATGATTATTAATTAGAATTCAAAAGGTTCACAATGAGGCTATTTCTACAATTCTACTGTTAATTCAATTTTCCCATTGTTTGTTTTTCTTGTTTCGAATTAAAATCATGATTTCTTTTTTACAATATTTTCATTTCTTTATTTTTAATGTTAAAGAAATAGGAAATAGGATGGGTGATCAGTCGAGAAAAAAAACATCATCTGATTTAAAATTTAACGAACGTTGTCCTCCAGATCGCGAAATAAATATTCTTCTAATGGGACAAACTGGTACAGGAAAAACAACATTTATCAATTCCCTAGCCAACTATTTCATTCATGATACTCTTGATGAAGCAATCAAGGACGAGATAAAAATCATTATTCCAACTTCATTTTATTTTCACGATGAAGAAACCTTTGAAGCAAAACTTATAAACATTGGCGATATAACTGATGATGAAGGAGTTAATGAACGTGGTCAATCATGTACGCAACAATGTCGAAGTTTTATTTTTCCATTTGGCAGTCGAAATTTACGATTAATCGATACACCTGGCATGGGTGATACCAGAGGTTCTCAACAAGATAATGAAAATTTATTTGAAATTTTAACGTATATTTCTCACTATGAACATTTAAATGCAATATGTATCTTTCTGAAACCGAATGAAGAACGCTTAACGATAGTATTTCGGCTTTTTATCAAACAAATTCTTCATTATCTAGGTCCGACTGCAGCCGACAATATAGTATTTATCTTCACAAGTGCTCGAACGACACATTTTGCACCAGGCAATTCGAAAAAACTACTTCAAACACTTTTAAAAGAATATAGTGATCGGTATCAGCAAGAAATACCGTTTGCAAAAGCGAATACATTCTTAGTAGATAATGAAGCATTTCGCTATCTAGCATTGCATAAAAAAGGAATACAAACCAATGATGAACAAGTTCAAGCTTATAGGCAAAGTTGGGATTATACTATTAAAGAATCTGAACGTTTTATAGAGTATGTATCTCATCTTCCACTACAAGCCATTGCAAGTACACTTTCTTTGAACGAAGCTGAACAACTTATAAAAAAGCTTTCACGTCCAATTGCTGAAACAATAAGACTTATTCAATACAATATACAACTTGCTACTCAGCATAACGAAAATCCAAACAAAAATAAGAAAAAGGATGCAAACAAAATACCACAAATGGTCGGTGACATCGCGCTAATTAAAAGCCCAAAGCTGATATGTTTTAGTAACAGGTGTTTACAAAAAAGAAAACTAAATGATAACGGCCAAATCACAGATATACAAGAATGCGAAAATGGTTCTTATTTAGATGGTGTTGTACAAGAAGTTGTAAAAGATCCAAAAATACAACGATCTAAGGTGTTCAATAAGGAGACAAGTGAGTTTTTGCAATTCACTAGAAAGTCGAAAATAAGTTTGAGAGATTATTCTCATTATTATTTGACTTAGTCCTATTGTGGAATTCGTTGCTGAATTGGACGAAGCCTTAATAACATATAGTTGCTCATAAAAGGAATTTCCAAATTATCTGATTAACAATAAAATCATATTGTTTTAACAAGAAATATTGATCATTTACGTTTTCGAAAGATGAATATTTCTAGATAATTCCCAACTAATGTTTCGGTCGTCTCCGTATTTTTAAAAACGAATCTTATAGAATTTTCGGAGAAACAGGAGTTATATCAATAAAGCTTTTAGCAAATACAAATGGTATTAAAAGACAAAGCATCTTGTTGATGCTTTCAGGAGGTCGTCTGTCGTAGTCAAAGAGTGACGAATCGAAATGAAAGTCAAAGCCTTACACTCAACCACCATTTTGTTCTATAAAATAGGTTTTCTTCACTGTCACATATCATTGTTGTGGATGCAATGAAAACTAACAATAGTTTATAGAAAATTTTCAGAGCACACAAATAACACCATGATAGTGTGTCTGAAATCTATCTGAGTAATTTGAAGCCTATTTCAGTATTCACATGTTATCAATGAAATCCTTTTTAGATTACACTGACTTTCTTACCATGTTTAATATCTAAAAAAGATCTATCCATCATCTTGAATAAATCTATTTAGATAAATGCGGTATATGTGACTGCTCGTATAAACATCACATGAATATTACTTATGAATATAAAACACGTCAGAAATACCGCGATGTGACAGAAAAATTAAATGGAAACAATGATAATAGTTCGATATCGACGGCGATTCAAGAATATATTAATGAATTAAAAGAAGAGCAAAAAACGATTGACAATCTCTACATGCCACTATCGAAATTTCTTCATGTCCATGCTATTCACCCATGTAGTGATGACATTATCGATTATTTACAACTATTCATTCGAGAAGAGAAAATTAAAGGAGAGCTGGGTATTGAAAATAAAGATGTGATTAATAACCTTACAGCAATATTCGAAGCATATCAGGCGGATATAGGTACTTTTCAATCAACTTCAACAGAAAAACATGCTGAAAAAGCAGCAGAAATATTAAAGCCTGATGAAGTTTTTCTGCAAGTTGGTCTTCTCTCTCGGTTACAAATTAGTGGGCGGCGCATTCGCGATCAAGTTGATTTATTGAAACATTTGGAAGATGAAGGAGTCAAACAAAGAGAACAGCGCATAAGAATTCCAAGAAAAGCTGCTGAGTCCAGAATTATGCGCTTGTCAGATAATGATGGGTCTCCAATATCAACAGAGCTTTAATTGTAATAAACGAACGAAATATAACTAATACGCACAGCATTCTTGTGTCATCAGTTTTTATTAATGAAGAATCAACAAAATCATAAAGTATATCGCGTATATTTCTGTATCAAAGAGGTCAGATTATCATAGAAAATTTTCCATAGTAAAATTCTTTATTTGCTGAATATCAATATCACTTTATAAGGCGTCCTATATTTCATTTGCATGTATTTATGTTCAGCGAAAATTTCTTTCGAATGCTGATCAACCACAGTGTTTTTCTATTTCAAACACAGGATACTCAGTGAGAAAATTAAACGTTTCTCTCACAATTAGATTTTATTGCGAACGAATTACTTTAATTTCTATATTTGAAAAATGCTCAAGATGTACAATGGCAATTTTGTACTCAGAGAAATCTGTTTTTTGATCTTGAGGATCCGTTATTTTACTCTTGATAATTTCTGCACCTTTTAACAAATCATTATCAAAAGTAATAGAATAAAACCCAGGTGAATACACGAGCGCACGATAAATTTGTTTTCTCGATATCGCAAATCGAAATCAAATGATTGATACCATCAATTATAATATCATATCATCAATCGAATAGCATTGGTTGGTGCAAGTAATTGCGTATGCTTATTTTCCATACATCGAGGGTCTTTATTTAATAGTTGATGATTAATTTACTGTATCGCTCGCAACAAGTATGAGACATGCACAGAGAAAAAAGAGGAAATATTCATTTCTTGTCGCTTGTCAAGCGTATAATGGAACGACAAATGAAAAGTATTTTTTCAATTCATCGATAAGTAAAAACAACAGCAATGTATGTTTTGACATCGAGTAACGATCATTATACCTGTAGACTCTTGCCAATTGACACACTAATATGAAAATAATTTACGAAATATAACGACAATGAAAAGTAGCTTCGATATTAAAAATAAGAGAACATATTTTTTTATTATGAAATTCGAGTAGCATACAAATAGAGAAAAAATCGTCTCCATCTGATTGAATTTTAGTAATAAAAGACTAATAATTTTGTTGTAGCTTATTTGGAACTATCTTTTTATGGAAACGATTGATCAAGAATATATTAGATATTTTATATCGGCGGCGAGCACTTTTCATCTGTTATCTTCTTCAAGCAATCGGAGACGACACGGCAAATTCGAAACAAGTTTAAAACAAAAGTCTAATTATTTTCAAAATAACCATTACTCTCGTTTCGAGTATAACATTGGCGGAGTCAAATACGGCGAACACAAACAAGATGAAATGGGACAAATTTTCAATCACAACTATAAGCGAATGTCAAATACTAAATTGTTTCAAATGGATGACTTCCGTATTGTGCTCAGTTGTAGCAATGCTGTTCTACATCAATTGAATAGCTATGATAAGAGATTGGAACTCTTCAAATATGCCGTGCAAACTACAAAACAATCTGATCCATCGAAGCAAAAATATAGTATACGAGCATCGAATCAAGTTACATTGATGTTAAAGCAATTGAACAAAAATCAACAACTACTTAAATTCTTTCAACAGTTAAATAATCGTGATGGAAGTGTGAATATTCCTTTGAGTATGGCAGTCATTGGAATCATGTATGATAGACGAAATCAACTTGAAACATGCTTTGTATTTTGTCCTTTTAGTTATAAGACTACTACAGTCAATTTGAATGATGTCGGCTTTAATATTGACGGGCTACATAAGTACGATACAACTTACAGCTCTTCTGAAAAATCACTTGAAATTGATCGATTTCTTCAGTTTATCTCTGGTTTACAAAGCAATCGCGATAAAGATGAAAAATCTCTGAATTTTTATAATTCCTCTCTTGACATAGGAGAAAAATTCTATTCATCGAATCCTATCAATGTTGCTCCAATGCTAACCTGCCTTGGTATTGTCCTTCATCGCCAAGAAAAATATGAAGCAGCTTTGAGGATATATATCTATGCAATTACTATCTTACAGAAATATTTTCCTTCAGGTCATGTAACGGTGGCTTTTAATTTTGATAAAATTGGTCTCATCTTGAATCATCAAACAAAGTATAAGAAAGCTCTAAAATTCCACAAAAAAGCACTGAAAATACGACAGCAACTATGTCCGCTCAATTATGAAGATATTTCTGCTAGTCTATATAATATTGGACTTATACTTTATCAACTAGAATCGTATGATAAAGCTATAGAATTATACGGACAAGCAAGAACAATGCGAGATAAAATATATCCTCTCGGTCATACTGGCATTGTTCAATGTCTCAATCGTATTGGTTTTGCACTTTGTAAGCAAAACAAATGTGAAGATGCTCTGGAGTTTCATCATCAAGCACTTTTTATGTTACAAGAAATACATCCTTCAGATCATGCTGAAATTATTACTAGTTTACATTGTCTTGGTCGTATATTTTATCAACAATTGAAGTATGATGAAGCATTATATTACTTTCAACAAGTTCTTAAAATTAGACACGATATTTATCCTAACGATCATTCGAGTCTGGCTGAAATTTATAATAATATTGCTTTGATATTATATGATCAAGGTAAATATGATGACGCTCTGCAGTTCTATCACAAAGCATTGAAAATAATACAAGATTTTTATCCGTCTGATTACACTAAAATTTCTAATAGTCTCAACGAAATTGGTGTTGTATTGTATCAACAACTTAAATATGATGAAGCCTTAGATGCATTTCATAATGCTGTTAAAATTCAAGATAAATTGTGTTCTACCAGTCGTATCGATTTGGCAAATTATCTCAGCAATGTTGGTCTTGTTTTGTATGATCAAGGAAAATACGATGAATCGCTTCGGTTTTATAAACGAGCACTTAACCTAACAGAAAAATACTTACCGTTGGATGATTTGAGCATTGTAGAAGGATTGACTAGTATCGGTTATATTCTATGCCATCAAGAAAAGTTAGATGAATCATTTGATTTTCATTATCGATCATTACAACTTCGACAAAAGTATCATCCAGCAACTTATATTAACATAATTAATAATTTGAATATTTTGGGCTGTATACGCAATCAACAAGAACAATACGAAGAAGCTTTGAATTTCTATCAAAGAGCATTGAGAATTAGAGTGGCAAACTATCCTGATGATACCATAAATGTTGCTATTAATCTTGTCAATATCGGTGAACTTCTTTTCAAACAAAAAAAGTATGGCCGAGCTTTAGAGTACTATCAAAATGCATTAATCATCCAAGAGGATTGTTACCCGTATGGTCATATTTCTATTGTTAATAGTCTTCAAAATATTGGTCGTACCTTTTATAATCAAGAAAAATATGATAGATCGTTAGAATTCTTTCAGCGTGCTCTAGGAATGAGAGAGCAATATTTCGCTGCTGATTATGCAGACATTGTAGAGAATCTCAATATGATCGGTCTTGTTTTATATCATCAAAATCAATACGACGAAGCTCTGCATTACCACCAGCAAGCTCTTTATTTACAGGAAAAAAATTATTCTTCTGAACATATTTCTATTGCTGACACTCTCGATAAAATTGCGACTATTTTTCGTGCGAATGAAGATTTTAGCAAAGCTTTTGATTTTTATCGACGATCGCTCAACATAAGAGAACACTATTACTCTTTCGATGATATTCATACCATGGAAAATCTCGGCAATATCGGCCATACTTTATATGAAAATAGTCAATATGATAGTGCTTTAAAATACTTTCGACGAATACTCGGAATTCAACGTAAACATACGCCTTCTGATAATGTAAACATCGCAACGACCTTGAACAATATCGCTCTGACGCTTTGTCAACAAGGAAATTCAGATGAAGCTTTGAGTTTATGTTCTCAAGCATTGGAAGTTCGTCGACAATATTTGCCTCCTGTACATCTCGATATTACTCAATCGCTTTATACTCTCGGTACCATTTATTACTTCCAAGGCAACTATGAAAAAGCGCTCGAACATTTTCAGCAATCTCTGCGAATTAAAGAACAATTATTTGCTCCCGATCATCTCAGCTGCGTTGGTGATCTTAATAATATTGGTATGATTTTGAATCGCCTAGGAAAATATAATGACGCTTTAGATTATCATCAAAAAGCACTCGTAATACAAAATAAACATTATCCAATGGGACATGTAAAAATTTCCGTCAGCCTTAATCATATCGGTTTAACACTTGGTTATCAAGAGGACTACGACGAAGCGCTTCTATTATGTACGAATGTTTTAGAAACGAGAAGAAAACGATATCCACCTGCTCATAAAAATATATCTGATAGTCTCTATAGTATTGGCAGGATTCTTTATCTGAAAAAAGACTATGATACCGCTCTTGATTATTTCCGAGAAGCGTTAGAAATTAGAAAAAAATATTATCAGCACGATAGTATTGAAATTGCTGAATGTCTAAACGTTATCGGTACGATATGTTATGTAAAAGGTAATCTCGACGAAGCTTATGAAATGCAACAGCAAGCACTTAACATTCAACAAACGTTCTATCCACCGACTCATCTAGATATTGCTGTTAGCTGTGAAAGTCTTGGTAAAATCTATTATGATCAAGAAAGATACGGAGAAGCAACGGTATTCTTTCGACGCGCAATCAATATCAGAAAAACTTCGAATACATATGATGATAATGTTGTTGCAGATATTCTTATTTTTATCGGCTTTGCCTATCGTAACCAGTACGATACTGATCATGCTCTTGAAAATTTCCAAAAAGCGCTTTGGCTGAAAAACAAATACGCACCCAATGACCGGCAATCCATAGCGACCACTCTTGAAGGTTTAGCAGTTGTTTACAATGATAAAGGCTATTATCAAAATGCACTTCAACATGCTTTAGAATGTTTAACAATTCGCGAAGCGCTTTTACCTAAACGTCATATTGATATTGGCACAAGTTTGAATCTTGTGGCTGAGTGTTATGCTAATATTCTCAATCGAAATATGGCAATTGAATATCATCAACTGGCGTTAGATGTTTTCCGGAAAAGTCTATCGACTGACGATCCGATTATTGAGACAACAGAAAAAAATATTAGCCAACTTAAAAAACCTGCACATTCATGGTTTTCGCGTGGGCGAAAATGTATACTTAAATTTAAAAAACGATTGTTTTCTTCCTAATTTAACTACAGCTTTATTTGCTTCAACTGTTTTGTGCAAAATAAAATAGAAATGTATACATGGTAGACGATTGTTAAAGTTCATGTTGGTTCTTTTTCAAACTGTATATTCGAATATTTATTTGTCTGTAACTCGAATTATTTTCTCTGTAAAATAAATTCTTATCGACAAGTAGAAACATAAAAATCGACTGTAGTAGACAACTTCAACGAGTCAATAAAAATGATTTAATGCCAATTACTAAACATTGATGACCGACTTCACATTTTTTTTCTTTTCCTGTCTACTTATTCGTAGAGCGACTGATACAATCAAGGTATGTATTAATGAGAATCAACCTACGCCTGCATATATTAACATGCGTATCGTTTAGCGGTGCATATTTTTATGTTTAGATATCAAACGTAGATAGACAATAATTAGAATTTATGATTGCCAGTTATTCATAGAAAATGATTTCAGCCAGAAATACGATCAACTCCATTTTAACCAGATAAACGATGTAGACTTGATTAGTAGAATTTAACAGTTCATCTTTAGTGAATAATGTTTTTCTCATGTATCAGAGTTTTTTAACTTTGAATTATGTTCCCACTTATAGGTGTATCATGAGAAATGAAAGGATGATCATCATTAACGACATAATCTCATTGAGTTTAATGATAAACATGATGGCACTAACTTTACAGTATTCGATTAACATTTCAAAATTTACTGTTTTTTATTCCTGCAGACAAAAATCGAAGTTTAGATCAAGAAAATTCATTTATGAATAAGATTTACTTATATGTAATTTATTCTATCCCGCACAGAAAAAGAACAACACCAAAAAAGTATCAAACGAAATCTAAATATAATTAATCTGATTACTACTAAGATATTGTTACAGGTAGAACAAGTGAGTGAATAGCGAAATGTGGTATGCTTTGCGGATCAAGCCATCGTGTTATGTTAATATTGCGAATAGTTTCAATCATTTGAACGGCTTGTTCTAATGTTTCGAGTGCTTTCTTGCAGACTTTTGCATTCTGTTTACGATATCGTTCACTGGTTAGTGAATTTTGAACTTGGTCAAGTTGTACGCTAATTGTATTTGCAGCCTCTTCGCTCTTGTTGAGATAATCAAGAAAGAACATATTTGCTTGTGCTAATTCCATGAGTCCCGAACAAATCTTTTCGAGAAACGCCAATGCTTTATATTGATGTCGAGTCCAAAAGCGGTAAACCAGAGATGCGATTGTTATAATAAGTGTACCACCAAGTAGTGCACCACATATAATTGCTACAATCGGATTCAAACTAAAACCAGCTACAACAAGCATTCCAGCTCCGCCGAATTCTTTCATTGCAACTAACGTACCGACAACACGCGCAACAATACTAGCGCCAGCTAACGGGCCAAGATAACTAAGAGCTTTCGATAGAGAAACTCGTCCATGAACGGTTCCACGCTTTTTCTGTACTTTCGTTTTTAATTTTGTGATGCGCTCGTTCAGCTGTCGACTTTCTTGGCCACTGCTGTGTGATACATTGATCATTTGCTGCATACCTTTCGCTAGACCATTCATGGCAATTTTGATATCACCCTGATCGGTCGCTGTTAACGTATTTACATTCGATTCGAACACGTCAGCTAATACAGAAAGATGATCTTTAGCTGCTGACATATGCGGCAAAAGTAAACCCATTTGATGTTGTGTATCGATTACAAGTTTACCATACATGGCAACAAGTTCTTGAAATTGATTAGCAAAATCAGCATACTCTTGGACCTCCTTGCGCATGGCATCGAGAAGATCAGCAATACTTTGTACCACTTTTGGCACACTATTTAAACGATCATTGAAATTAGCCGAAGAGAAATTTGTAGCCATTGATAAAAATTTTCTAAAAATGTGTGTTTGTTCATCGCTTTCCAAACCTTCACTTTGAATCACTTGTTCCAACTCGGCTTCGCTGATTTCTGCTGCTTTTAATTGAGCCCAGGCATTATGTGCAAAGACACCATTCACTGTGCGATCGACATGAACTAGAAATTTTTCGCCAGCTTCCGGATCGTCGACTTCCACCATATCCGAAGACATTGTTGCCATTTTTATTGGAAATATTTTTGAAATTAAATAGAAAAGAAAATATTATTCTAAACAAATCAAAATGAATAATTTCTTTGATTTTATAGAAACTTGAATGAGCGATGAATAATACTATTTTTTTTATCATCATGCGTTCTTTTTAATGCTATGCGGGGTCGCCTGTTTTTTTTCTTCATTTTGTCTCTTGGCGCACAAATGAGTAGGAGACGAGGAAAAAATACGAAGTGACACACTCATTGATATATTTGTTCCGTTCTCATTTATGAGTCATCCTTGATGGTAACAGTTTGGACTTTTTTGTTTTTGCGTGCTTTTTACGCGCCATGCAATCAATTGTTCCTGTTTAAATTTATGTCAAATGGCTCATTCTAATGTTCTTCTTGACAATATAATTTTCAACTTGAATGTATATTGGAAGTATTCAGGGTTTCATATATGTTCTAATGATAGTAAATGATAACATATACAAATAAAATAATTTCGATACACATAACATTTTATTTATGTTGAATTCACGTTGTACTAGTGTATTTTATGCACAATCGCACGTTAAAATAAAATTTAATATTATTCGTTTTCTTTCTCGGTGACCATCCATGTCTGACGCAAAGTAACTTCTTATTAGTATCTTGACGATTGATTATCTTGTATAGTCTGCAATGGATATTTTCCATTATGTATTAGTATAATAACAGTTAAGAATAAATGTGAGTTCTAAATTTAAGCCGAGGAGGAGCTACACTAGCAAGCGTCTTTCTATTTATTACGAAAGAAATATATACAGAAATTTGTTTTCATTAAATGAATTGTTCCTCAAGAAAATGAAGCTGCTTGATTAACGTGCGAACAAGGTAGAGAAAATGGGGCTGCTCAGCGTAATCGTTGTTTTTGACACCGAAGCACAAAAACAAACGGAAAGAATAAAAGGTTACAATAAGAAAAGTAAGCACTAGTTAATTGTACGAATATCGTGACAGATTGAAAAATCATCCACATGAGTTCTTATCGTATAGGAGAATTTTTCTTTCCTTCATTTTTCATGGGTATCTGTTTTTTGCTGAGATTCAGTATTGTGAACAGTATCATCAGCTGATGAACCACCGATTGAATTATATGTTAACTGCATACCATATAACGCGATTACACAATCTGTTGCATAATACCAACGCTTGATATTAATATAACGTTGGAAATAGTCAAACATATTTATGATGACAAAACTAAAAGGAAATAATAATAGAATTTCAGAAAAACAAATCGGAATAGAGAGCATTTGTGGTATGCAATAAAGAAAATAAAACTCTGAATCGACTAATACATCGTCTAATTATATATTAAGAACAAGTATTCTTTTCAATAAAAGCGAAAATAACTCACTGATCCTACCTTCGCTTCAATTACGTTGAATGTGTATAGTAGCGTAAAGAGAAAGACAAGCATGAATAAATGACTCGCGATCAATGACAAGAATGCGAAAAAGAAAAGAAAAGAAAACCTTTCACAATGACCGTGCTATCTAAATATGACTTGGCGAAGGGTAATGATTTAAATTAAAAAATCCTTTCATAAAATAGAATACATCTGATTATTTCCATATTGAATTGCTAACAGAATGTAATGTGAAAATAATAGAGGAGAAAATATTGGACTGCAATAATCGTTCTAATTACCTATCGCAAAACACATTTTCGAACATATTGCTTTATGGTTGGAGATATAATTTTAGACATGCGTAATATGATTATTTAGGTCAGAGGAAAAATTTCTGTACCTAGTAAACTGAAAGCATTGTTTTTCATCGAGAATCTAGAGAATATTTTAGCGAAATTTATTCTATTATATGAACCTTTAATAAAAATGCATTTAACATACACGCGATTAAATGGATGTGCTGTGTTACTGAATTTGCTTGCTTATTGACTAATCGACAAGAGTTAAATGAAAATTCATAATACGAATGCAAGCAACAATATCGAAGAGCAAGCTTATATAACTAGTATACTGGGTTTTTCCCCTATCCTATTCGAGCAATAATTATACTCTCTGCTACCATTGGCAGACATTGAATGAGAAATAAATAAGTATCGGCGTCACAATGTTGACTAATATTTAGAAAAAAAAGATTATTGCTTTCTATAAAAATGTGCACCCAAAAAACAAATCAAGGAATGTTGCAATAGTATTCGAACCCTATCAAGAGCGATATAGTTTCACATTAAATGAAATATGTTCTATCTAAGATTCAACTGTATATTTACAGAGAATATCTAGTACACAGACAGAATCGTTCAACCATCATCTTATATGATCCTAATGATCACTAGTACCATCAACAACAACAACAACACCACAATGATACTATTTCCATAAAAATAAACTCGCTGGGAAATTTATTTAAAGTATCATATGCAACAAATTATATTCATTCATGATTTTAATTCTGAATTCATTTTGAATAGCTGCTATGATGTAACTAAAATAATCAGCAATTTGATTTTTCTAAAAATAATATCACCAATGACCAACCGAGCAGAACGATTTTAATATTCGTTTTCATCCTAACGCAAGTTTCCTTGTGATTACAACGCGGGCTCAAAGAGTAGGATACGGTAAAAATATCGACTTTGCTGTCGGATATTTCTTCTATTTATTCATCACGTATCTGATTTCAATAGCTTGCTCAATATCTTGTTTTTAGTTTAGATTTAACCTTCCGCCATCCGGAAAAAAATGAAACTATTCTATTTTTCAATTAATTTAAAACGAAATAAAATGTCTATTCGCCGTGTAATTATTAATTTCAATGTTTATATTATAATTCCTTAAGAAATAAATATGCTAACGAGTGATCTATTCTTTCGAATGAATAAAACATGAAATTGATGTAACTTTATCAAGCGCAATTTTTGTATCGGACTATTAATCGTCAAGGTTAAAACTGCGTGTAATCGGTATCAACAATGAATGCTGCTATTTGCTTCTACTCTTTTTTGTTTGGCAAATACGTTTTGTTCTGCTATTACAAGAATTTTATAATAGCCTTTCTTCTGATCACAATATTAGTGTAGTACGAATCTCTTTCACATTCTTTTTATTTTTCAAGTATATGAAAAAAAGCACTTTTACATTGATTTAGATTCGTTGCATTAAGAAACAAAACATTGGTACATTTAATGCTGCTGACATACATAGAGCACTTTTTTTGAAGGTAAGATCGTGAAGAAGGTTTATAATGTTTTAATTATTTATCTTTTCTCAACATATTAATTAGTTTTTTATTGAAAAAAACTAATGACAATGAGTTTTTGAATATTTCTATGGAATAACTCAGAAGGAACATTACGATAATAGTAAGTGATCATATTTCTTGGCGTCATATAAGAGGAGGCAGAGCATTTCTACGGCCAACTTGAACGTTCGTATACGCTGCTTGTATATTTCATTGTCATACGTTTTTTCTTGTTCATGAGAAAAGAGCTGCTTTGTTTGCCTTCCGTAATTTTGAAATATGAAACTTTTCATTCGCGAATATGTCGCATTATTTTGAATAAAAGCTTATTAGCCTATTTGTTGGTTAATAGAAAATGTTAAAAGTATGTATTCGATAAATGCAATTCATTTGACAATTATGCACGCATTCTGTCGTGATCTACGACGATTACCGTGTGATGTAATTTGTATTGTTTTACTTTGAGGTGAAAGATTAGAAATAAAAAAATTGTACAGTGATTTTTATAATTAGAATGAAAAAAATCATTCATAATTTCTAATCTATAGGTTACAAAATTGTCGAGATTATTAAATAGTGAACCAGTCAATGAAAAGAACTCAAGATCTATCGCTACTACCAATAAAACGAACGGCTATTGACTGTTCCGGACGTCTCGGTTCATTGTACGATGCATGTGAAGACCAGCCACTTCGAACATTGGACGTAAATTTTCAACAACCCTTTATTGAATTCCATGCAAAAGCACAATGTATCCTTGAAAGTGGGGATAAAAATGCCCAACGAAATCTTCTTGAATTGATTCATATCGATGAACAATTGCGATTGAGTCTATTGCTTGGTTTAACATCAAAAACTGGAATAGCAACATTAGTTGATTATCCACATACGATAAATGAGTACACTCGAGTTTTACATTATTATTATATTCATCGAGAAGAACGATTTCCTGATGAAGTACAAAAAATACGAGATCGACCTGAAACTGGCCTATCGAAAACGAATGCTACTCATATTGTTACTGGCGTGAGTTGGGGTGTCGATATTGTTGTTATTTTACAACTTCCACCTGAATATGATGTCGCCAAAAGAATTGATAGTGTATTAGAAAAATACCGAGCATATCTAAATGGTGATTCGAATGATTTTAAATTAACACGAGAAGATCTCGATTCGAATAGGCACATTATTGATACAAAAATTTATTCGAATATTCCAGCTGTAACCGAAATGACAGCTTTACATAATGTTTTTCACACTATATCCCGATTAAAAGCGGATGATACTCAATATCGGCAATTATCTTATATTCTCTATCCTATATCAAACTCAAATTACATTCCTCTAGATCGGGTACACAATGCTCACTTTGAACAATATGTATCGGAATTAATAACTTCGATGAAAACAATCGAAACGTGCTTCAATGAAGATATGCCACGGCTTCTACGCGGACATTTAACAGAACGTTTTTCACACGCATACAGACAATGGTTAACATTGAAAGATGAATATGCGAATCTCATGGAACGATTTTCTAAGTTAATAGTTGAACTTCGTTGCGGTTTAAATCAAACTTCTGCACTCGATAGACTTCTCGGTCAACAAGCACAAATAATATTAAAAAATAATATAACAAATTTATATCAAAATGTAACGGAGCTAAATAGAAAAGCACACTTAATAACTGATTTAAGTCATGAAAGTATACAATATTGTAATGTCATGGAACTCAAAATTGATAAGAACGATAATGAAGATACGCTTAAACGTAAACTTGTGATCGATGAAAACATCGATCGAGTTCTCTGTTCCAATGATTTATTGAATAAGAAAAATCCGGCGCAACTAAAAAAACTACGTCATTATTTAATTGAAGAACTTGAAAATAATTTTAAACTAAAACTTATCTATGCTGATTTTTCCGGTTGTACATATGAATTACGTGATATGATGCTTTTACCATCGATTCAAAATGATACCAGGAAAAAATATTCAAAATTTAGAGATCTTTCAATATCGGCCGATAATAACACTTCAATATCATCGTTACGCAAAACACATAAACATGCGCCATTGTCAGCTTCAAAATTATCGATGAATGAGACTATCAATGTTCTTCTTCTTGGTGAGACTGGCGTCGGTAAATCTACTTTCATTAATGCTTTGGTTAATTATCTGACATTTAAAACAATCGATAAAGCTAAATCCGAGAAGCCCATTGTAGCTATACCTACAACGTTCACTACGACCACTCGTGATAATTTTCAAGAACATACAGTTAAATGTGGTGATTTCACTAAGTCGACGAATGAAAATTTTCGATATCCTGGCCAATCTATTACTCAACGTTGCCGTTCACATATTTATAATTTTCATAATAATGATGGAACAAAACTACGTATTATTGATACGCCTGGCTTCGGCGACACACGTGGTCTACCACAAGATAATCGTCATATGCAACGGATTTTAGATTATATAAAAAAATTCAAATACTTTAATGCAATATGTATATTTCTCAAGCCAAATGAATCAAAATTAAATACATATTTTCGATCGTGTCTTACTCAATTATTCAATGCAGTAGGTCCCGATGCTCGTCAAAATATTGTCTTCTGCTATACGAATGCTCGAGCGACATTTTATGCACCAGGAAGTACAGGTCCACTATTGAAACAGGTCATTTCTTCATTGTCGGTTGGTGATATTCCATCGAAGAGAAAGAATACATTCTGTTTCGACAATGAATCATTTCTCTATTTAGCTGCACTGCAAAATAATGTTCCATTCAATGATCAAGAAAAACGAGAATATGAAGCGAGCTGGTCGAATTCCGTAACTGAAGCTAATCGATTTATTCGGTATATTCGTAGAAAACTTCCGGTATATTATATACCAGATGAATCCGAATTAATCAGATCTGCTGAAATAGAAATCGTTCAAATGATTCATTCCATGTTAGAAACAATGAGAAGTCTGCTTCGAAAGATTATACGTTGTAAAATGAATCTTTTTAAAGTATCATTTGAATCTGATTTAAACGACGTCGATTCAAGTGAAACAAAAAATAATCATCATCATCATAGATTACAATATTCGCCTCCGCCTCAGCAAACAATTCCAATTGATTTTTTTGAAGATTATAGAATTGCGAACAGCCCATCCAGTAAAATGCAAGATGATACTATCGATCAACTAACACTACTTTGTCATGTCAGTGTTGAATTTTCTTATTTTCTATTACGTATTGCGCATTATTCTCAAAGTGATCCGTTTTTAAATGGTTTCATACGAATGATCAACGAAGAAAATATTATTTGTGAAAGTCGAAATCGAAATTATGTTAATTTACAATTAGTAGAAGGTTTAAAAACATTAGCAAATAATTATAAACAACGAATAGAAGCAACGAAATCAAGTCCAAAACAAAATATTCTTCTAATTATTTCTCAATGGATAAAATATATGCTCGACTATCCACTAATATCGGAATATACGATTGACAATATTCGAGAGAGTCTAAACATTGACAATAGAATAACATCTATATCGAATCCGTGTCGGCTGTAACGAATTTATAATTATAGGGTGTTGTGCAATATCCTATGATGAGGGTTACCAATAAGTTGCTGCTAGGTTAAGAGAAATTTAAAAGGAACTCGACCGTATGACGATAAAAGCAACAAATTTTCGAATTTTGGTTACTGACACATATCATATTCCTGATAGTTTTAACAACAAAAAAATCCCTATCGAGATATTTTATTTCCTCGCAGATTTGTTCTCCTATAGTAAACTGTTATCTTTTGTTTTTGAAAGTTTGACGACTAGCAAATGTACTTATTAGCAAAATTTAGTTCGATATTTTTTGGCGACGATTTCACGGACATTTTTTGCTCGCGGAAAAAAACTGCCATTAGGCCATAGATCCACATCCTTTAAAATTTTTCTACATCGAATAGATTTATTTGTTTTGCTTCAGTTTGTGAATGTATGGAAAATAAATTTAGTTAAAATGAATAAAATGTAAAAATAAATGTATGCTTTAGAATCACGACGACATATTGATTTTTGCAATCGTTTGTTAAAATTATTAAGAAATCGTTGTTATCTGTGATTAATTGTTTTTCTTAGTTCTTGCATTGTTGTAGAGGAATTTGTAATCGAAGGTATGTTAACAACATGTTCTCGATTTTCATTTATTGTCGATTGTTTTTCTTTTAATTCTTCAACTTGTCGTTTAATACTGGCACCATTTATAGGTAAATGATAGAGTTTAGCTACTAAATCAAACACATTTTCCGCTTCAGATTAGTTATTTGAAGGGTTTGAAGTCGTATGGTTTTTTTTGTGGACTCAAAAGTGAGCTAACGAATCTATGCTCAGCTTCCTATTGTTGAATCATATTTTTAAGCCCTCGAATAATATCTGGGTTATTAGCGCCAGCATTTCTTTTCATTTCTTCTTCTTCTTTAATAAAATAGCGTATATATTCCAGAATATTATCATTGCAAGGCGTAATGGCATTTCTTCTTAGAAATTGTGAAAGTTTACCGCAAACTTCAATAATAGCTTGTTCTTCTTGTCGCAGATCACGGATAGCTACGCCTATCAAGACTTGTCAATATTGACTGTGAATTGGAATTATCTATGGCGACATCGGTTAAATATGTTTGATATTTATACGTGATATGCATATGATGCTTCCAATTCCAATTCCATACGTCGTATAAACCTAAAAAAATCAAAAATAATTCAGTGCTCAAAAACCTAGAAACTAAAATAATGGTTATATTGTTGTCTATGGAAAACAGTTTGACTCACCAGCAACTCAAACTTAAAAAAAGACTTCAACGCATCCGATCTACTTTGAGCAGTGGAGCTTTTTCAAGTTTTTTATAAATACATTTCAGACGTCTCAAAATCTCTGCGATTGAAGTATTCTGAAATCAGAGTGGATGTGAACTGGGTTTTAGCTCCTATTTTGCTCTTATCTACATGTGTATCTACTCTGTCGTGAAAACATTTTCCGCTTTTCCATCACAAGACTTCGATAGTCTTGCGAAAAGATTACTAGACAAAACGGTCGTCAGCAAATATCAGGAGTTTTTAATTTTTTAACCTCTTTGCTTATTGATGGCACAACAATGTTGTAATATTTCATGGCCAACGCATTCTTTTTCAGCATCATGCAAATAACAACGGGCATGACATTTCGTAGTGTAATTCGCTTTTCGTTGGTCTCCGGCAGTAATCATTTCAATACATTTTCTATCTGTACGTGGAAAATCAAAACGTTTAACTGTCTCATTCTTCTGTTGTAAACGTTGCGGTTATTTCGTTAATGCATATTTAATATATTTTGTTTGTGTTGTTTAGCTAATTGAATATTTTCTTCTATAAGCCGAGCTGTTTCGCCAATCGGTCGCGTAAGTTTACGTATAAGTTGTTGAGTTGAATTGATTGATACACTATCGCGGACAGCATGTAATTCAAATTTTTGAATGCGTTGAATAAGCCGTGTAAATTCTTTTACTGATATTTCCCAACTTTTACTAAAATTAGTCACCTCCTCATCTGAAAACTCGACTCCATTTTTACATGTAGCTAAAAATCGAAATGCCTCATTGTCAAACATAAATGTATTTTCATTATTAAATGGGATCTCAACGCCCCATGTTTTATGTAGTTCTTTCGTTATACTTCTAACCAATGGAGTTGTAGAACCTGGCCAATAAAACGTTGACCACCCATTATTAAATACGAACATAAGATTATCTTTAACATTGATATGCAGATGTGTTAAGATTTCTTTAAAACAAAAACAAAATCCAACTGTTAATCGTTCATTATTTGGTTCAAGTACTGTACAAATACCATTTAAATGGTCATACTAACTTATATACGCAAGAATATGATCAAAATCTATTGCACCTTGTGCTATACCTCTTACGTCACCTATACCTGGGGCGTCGATTAAACGCAGCTGACAATTTCCTATGCGAAAATTATAACTTCGGCAATACTGTGTACTTGATTGACCAGTTTCTTCACATTTTTCGTCAGTAGTTGGTTGCTCAATCGATATTCGCCTTGCATGAAATGTCTCGGGATCAATCATATGAAATGTTGAAGGTATAAGTACTTGCATATCACCTCGAGTTGCCTCACTTAATGTACTATAAATGACATAATTGGCGAATGCATTGATGAATGTCGATTTGCCGGCACCCGTTTCACTCATCATTAAAATATTTATATCGGGCTGTGATGAATCATAGCAGCTTGCAGCTGATCTACCCGATGATGCATAACTCATCTCTAATTCGAATTACAGATGCTCGCCTAATCTGGGTTATATATTTTGAAAATGATAAAGTACAAAAGAGTTTTTGTCAGCCTTCATCTATAAGAATATTTTTTAGTTTTTGGGAGCAAAACAAATAGTTTTTATCGACCCGTGCACACCGTTATATTTCTCATTCTTTTCATTACGTGTGCGAAACAAACCTTTGCACATGGTTGTCAAAGGAAAGAAAAAGAGTTGGTTTATTTTCAAATTTATCGCAAGACAGAAGAGGACAAACTATTGGTGCGTCGTCAAGGTAACACATGAGAACGTTTTGAAATTTACAACTTCATTTGAATATTTTACTATGAATTTCATTTTAGATATAATCTTAAGTTGGATTATTCAATTTTTAAATATTACAAAATTTCTTTCTTTAAAAATCGATGATGCTCTTCTGACATTCACACATACGAACTGTACGTTCTGTAGAGTTCTTCATTCGCTAAGAGTCTCTAATGGCTACGAATATGTTCTTTGAAATTATTAGCATACGAATTCAAATCTTCTATAATACAGTTGATTTAGTTGACGATCATTTTTATCAAAAAAGCCTCATAAAATAAATAGTACAGTGTAATATCGAAAAAATACGATATTCAAATTCGATTGCTTTTTCTAATCGACGCGCATAGTACACCATTTCAATCAAAATGACGTAGTACTTTAAACACGCCTGCATGAGTCATTTGACTGAATGCGTTTTGTTAGCGACCAGAAAAATATTCTCATTCATTATTTACGATGTGCGTGTTTAATGAGGAATCAAATTTCAAATACGAAACCTTACGGTACTATACGTAGAGAATATTTCTTGCTTTTTTCTTACAATTTTTTCTCTCAAGGATGCTACAAGTATAATCGATTGAGGACAACTATATTCTATTATATGCGCAACTTTGGAGAAAATATTTTCCCTTGAAAATTATATTTTCAATTTTAATATAACGATTACGAAATTCTATACAAACTATATTATTGTGTACGTATCCGGCATGATGATTATCAACAAGGATGGGTTGGTAACTCTGTTGTAGATAATGTTTTGATTAGTAGTTAGGTGTAATCTGATGCTAAATACCAACTTTTTTGGAACAACATAAAATACATTTATATTTCTAATTATATGTATCGAACTTTAGTTTACAAATTTCTTTTTAATTCAAAACTTAGAATATCATACTATACTCGACAGCTATAATCATTATAATAAAAATAGATCATACTTGACAGCATTAGATGAAAGTCTCAATTCTTCTTATGATCTAGAACCAACTATTGGTACATTTTTTACTAGAAAATATTTGTCACGTATTCGAGAAACAAAGCTGAGATTATTTTGTCTGAAACATTGCTTTTGAGTTCGTATATAGATTTGCAATAATACTTCAAAAGAATGAAATTTCTAATCGAAATGGCATTCAACCGTTAGAATTTCTTTATTGTCTCATATAAGACTAAGTATTTCTTTTCAGCTAGCTTTGTTAGAGTTAAAAATTATTTCGTGTATTTGTTTCATAGTTTTAGATTCAAACGTCTATTCTGGTTCAGTATGACAACAACATTGAATAGGTATAATTCAGATGAAAGATCATTACCTGTTACGAATCGTACGGCTATTGACTCTTCTGGATGCATTGGCTCACTATATGATGCATACAAGGATCTCATATTCGGACCAATAAACTTCAGCA